AAACAATTTAAACGAGAAAACTAACGGCCTAATTTATGTACAAATAATGAACGAAACACAAATATGTAGTACATAAGCAAACGACAACCACTGAATTACAGGCTCTTGACTTGGGACAGGCACATACATACAGAATGTGGCGGGTTAAACATGTTAGCGGGATGTACATTTTGTACATTGTTGGAAATAGAATTAATTTGTTCTTGCTACAAAACAGGAGAAAAGCTCGACAAAGTCTGCATATAGCCTATCCAAACTTTGCATGGATTTTTCTAGCATTCCACAGGGTCCGGTATTCGGACCCATTCCCAATGGCAAAAACCCTACATTTTTCCCAATTTTGGGAGCAAAATTCCCAAATGATCTCAAAATTCATTTTCATCTTTATTACTCATGACAGCGATGTTTATTTTGTTCAACCGCTAGCTTTATGTCGAAAATAGCCAACAAGTGATGTGTAAATCCGAGTAAAAACATATCTGATTGACAAAAACAACATCAACAACAATGGCTGACATAAACCAGAAATGTAGACAATTACAATACTGGATCAGTTTCTGGGAACGGATAAGACTAATTCCGGGTTTGCCAATCCAATACAATAAATGAACATAAAAAAATCCAAGCAGGTCACAAAATACAGCTATGAAATATAAACACTAGAATTGAAAACAAAAAGATATATGAACATGATGAAAAAGAAAGAAGAAACAGGAAATATTTTATACAGAAACTCAATTATTTTTAGTTCACAAATTTTCATGTCAAAATCCAATAAAATGTGACATTACTTTTCTTTATCAAAGAAAAGTGTTGATATTAGATGATTTTATAATGTAAACATATAACTACAGATCCAAGAGGTAATTTCTTCTCAATTTTGAAGGGCCAGTAAAAATCTGGAAGAGCAAGTGAATTTCAAAAAGTGTTATCCTGCTTGGCCTGTAAAAATCATCTTACATGTATATATATCCCTGAATTATTTATTATATTTTAACCATGTTAACTGTAACTGTCTTTGAAGATAAAAAAAGGCGATAAATTTTAATCACATGTGTGCTTTAAGAACTCATCATTTTGATACTGAAATAATCTTGAGTGCCTTGTTGTGAAGTTTAAAAACAAAAAGAACAGAAAATGAAATTATAAATTGCAATCATGTAGTTTCTTACTTTATTTTCACAAAAAAGTTTCATTTTTAATGAACTAAACACACTAAAACTCACATCTGGTATATTTGTTGTTTTCACAATTTCACTGAAAATCGCGTAAAAAAATTCCCAAAACTGGCCAGGGTCCTTTTTCCCAAAATACCCAGAAAAACCACTGCTTTGTACTATGTTGAACAGTTAAATTTGTGGTTTATCTTTACCCACGAAATCCTTGAAAATTGATATCCCTCAAATAAAAATGAATCCATTGTACATGTACATAATTTTGTAGAAAGTCACCGAAAAGGTCGGGACAGACACAAGAGTATATTTTTATGCATATTTTATATCACTTAAGTATGACTTAATTTGTTTTGTAGGCCTTTTTTTTCATATTTCAATACTTTTTTTTTTGTAATAAACAGATAAATAAACTAAATAATATCCTTGTTAGGGATTAAATATCTACGTATAAATTTTAAATGATGAAGGCAAAACTCTTATGATGTTGTATAGGTTATTTACCGGTGATTTTTTAAATGACTAAAAATCTTAGTTATATAATTTGCAAAGTGATACTCTGTTATGTCTGTATATTCAAATATGAATTGGATAAATATTGGAAAAGTATCAATGTTTCAGTTAAGGTAAAAAAATAAATAGAAGAATAAGTGTTTCAAGTGCATTGTACAAGAACAGCCTTATTACATGTATGTGTGCTAGTGAGCCTAATGTTTTGTCTTGTATGAAACTAAAAAAAAAATACATGTATCAAATATAAAAATAAGAAGATGTGGTATGATTGCCAATGTGACAACTCTCCACCAGAGACCAAATGACATAGAAGTTAACAACTATAGGTCACCTTTCTGCTTTCAACAATGAGCAAATCCTATACAAAAAAAACTTATCAAATACTATTTCCAAACTTTATTCACAAATATATATCATGTATATAAAAAAGTACATTCTATAGTTGAAGTTAGTTGCTGTCTGCCTTATTTGTTTTTCATTTGTTGGTTTTTAGCATGATTTAAGCTGTTGGTTTTCTCTTTGGAATTGTTTCTCATTTTCACATGTTGTCATGCTGGGCATTTTATAGCTTACATGGTACATGGTACTACACAGTATATGGGTTTGTTCATTGTTGAAGCCATTCAGTGCCCTTTAGTTGTTTACACCCCTTTTCTTTGGACTATGGTTGATAGCAGTCTCATTGGCAATCATACCTCATATTGTCCACTAAATGTTTACATCCCTTTTCTGTGGACTATGGCGGATAGCTGTCTCATTGGCAATCATACCACATATTGTCCATTAAATGTAAACAAACTAGCTTGATTTTCATTTCACCTCACAATTTCTTCAAATTAAGTTTTGAAAGATTGTAATTAACAGAAGATGAGATGAGAGAATATTGTCTGTTTGCCAAGTTATTAGAAACATGTTCACAGTTCTATTTCCATCTGTTTCCATTATAACATGCATGGTTGTAGTAATGTAGCACAGGTATTGTTGATATATAGTCTGGCAGGTTCTAAAAGAAATTTCAGGTGCAAATCGTCGTTTGAATATCTGGTTTATCTTAGATCTATTTTAGTTATAAAGCAGTGGAGGAGTAATTATATGAAGAAACAATTCTCTCTTGAGTTGTAAAGAAACAATTCTCTCTCGAGTTGTAAAGTGCATTTTAACATTGATTTGTTAGTTATACAATATGTATAAAGTAAATAATGACTTCAGTTTTTCTGTGCTTTTAATTATTGGGAACAAATTCAGAAGTCAACAGAGTCAAAGGAATAAGGAATTAATTGAAATTTATTTTTTTATGTTCATATACAAATGTACTGGTACTCAAGTTAAGTTTCTGCAGTAGCTACAGTGTAGAGTATAAAAACTAAAAAATAACCCACATAGATATGGTCTTGCATTTGGTCAAAGTTTTCATTTCAGTAATAGCTGTTTTAAAAAATTGATACATGAAATTAGGCTAACATCTAACAAATTACAAGAAAACATGTTTGAATATTTCTTCCCTTTCTTATTTGTTTTAAGATAGAGATTTCTGAGTGTTATCCACATCAAAAAGACAGATGTGTTACAATTTTATAATTAGGTGTAAAGATAAGGGCTTACTTTGCTTTATCCAGGTTTTTTTGTCTTCCTTGTGTTAATCTACATGTACACATGTAATACATTTGTAATAACACATGTTAATCAGTTGATTTTGATCAATGAAAATGATCTTAGAATTTCCTTCCTACATATATAGTCTTAAGATTTTAAGATTGATTTATGACTAATTGTCCTTTTTCAGTTTTTAAAATGGAATTGAACAAGTGCCCCCATTAATTGACCATTTATAATACCCATTACTATATATGGATCTTGACAATTCCTCTTTTTGTTGTCCAGAAACAGGAAAAAACTGGATTCTGGAAATGGTTTGCACTTTCAGACAGAAGGAATTTCTGTTTTTCAGTGCATGGTGCCTAAGGAATTCAAACATAAACATCTGGAACATAAAATTAAATATAAAAACAACTGAAACTTAAATATGTATTTCATACAAAACATATAAGTTGCAATGTAGCGGTACGAAATTTTTGTACAATGTACTGTTGGTCAGTTGTGTGTTATATTATTACCTCGTAATTCATGAATCTTTAAGTTGTGTTTAATGAAATTTTAAGCATGTTATTATTTGATAATTTTTGTCAGATTTTATAGATTTCCCATATTAAAGTGTGAAATGAAAAAAAAGTAAATAAAGAATGAAAAAAATTGTGGATTCTTTTTATTTTACATGTTTTTGTTAATTTCTTTTATTGTTTGTTTTTTTGTTGTTGCTTTTATTACTATGGTATATTGAATATCATGGAAATAATTAGAAATTCACTGTTCAAATAAAATCATTTTCTGTTTGCGAAAAGTGAAAGTACTTTCATTTCATGTTGGGAAGGTACTTTCATTTCCTTTCATTTCATGTTGGGAATGTACTTTCATTTCATGTTGGGAACGTACTTTCATTTCATGTTGGTAATGTACTTTCATTTCATGTTGGTAACATACTTTCATTTCATGTTGGTAACATACTTTCATTTCATGTTGGTAATGTAAGTTTTAGTAAGAACTTCAGCAGTTTTAAATATTTTTAGATTCTATTTGTGTCATCAAAACAGTATGTTATAATTACTTCCCACCTACCATTAGAAATTGAAGAAATGAAAATTTCCTGTCGTTAATTGAAATTTCAAAGTTCGCTATACAGTTAACTTGAACATGATTCATGTATATATATGTGTAAAAACACTGTCAGATATTATAATTTCTCCATACAGAAGTGTATTTTTGATATAAGGATTTAAGGAGACTATAAAGTATTTTTATTATATTGAAATAAGGAGATGAGGGATGATTGCCAATGAGACAACTATCCACCAAAGTTCAAATGAAGGGGATGTAAGCAATTATAGGCAACCGTACGGCCTTCAACAATGAGAAAAACCCATACCGTATAGTCGGCTATAAAAGGCCCCGACATGAAAATTATGAAACAATTCGATTGAGAAAACTAACGGCCTAATTTATAACAAAACAATTAAGGAAAAACAAATATGACAGACATGAACCAACGACAACCACTGAACTACAGGCTCCTGACTTTGGAGTTGGGACAGGCACATAAAGAATGTGGCGGGGTTAAACATGTTTGTGAGCGCTCAACCCTCCCCTAACCTGGGACAGTGGTGTAACAGCACAACATAAGAACAAACTATATATATATATATTTTGTCCTTTTGATAACATTGTAAAGCAAGGAGACTAATATAGAGTATTTTTTTTAAGGTCATCCCTAGATTCAGCTGAACAAGACATAGAACATCTGGAGGCAAAGTTAGAGAGAGTAAGATATATAAATGTATAGACCATAGACTAGAAAAACAATATTTTTAATGCTTGGTAGTTTATAGCTATTTTTTGTTTACTTTGCAATACCCTCCATATAAACAGTTGCATTTATTCAACTGTATTAGAGAAGTTATACAATATAATGTACGATGTTTATTGATTTATTGTCAACTGTATTAGAGAAGTTATATACAATATAATGTACGATGCTTATTAATTTGTTGTCTAGTTTTATTCAGCAATCTTCTTTGATACATATGGACAATTTTATAGATATCAATCAGAAATAATTTAAGACATACATGTATAGCCTTTATTTTGACTTTAACATTACGTATGAAAATAAAAAGATGTAGTATGATTGTCAATGAGATAACTATCCACCAGAGTTGAAAGGCCAAGGATGTTAAATACAGATCACCATAGACCATCCTTTATATTTACTATATATAGAAACAAAGCAGCCAGAGGTACATGACAAATATCAATGAGACAGCTGTAGCTACACTATTGTTTTTACTCAACATACAATACCTACATTATATGCCCGGCCTTCAATAGTATTATGTTTTGTGTGACTCGTATCAACTTCAAATTTTTGGTTTGAAGTAGTTTGTGGTTATATCTACTTTCATGTTTTCACTGTTTAATTTGTATGGCAAAATAGGGTTTTGACCTAGATTTCACGGTTCACTGAACATGATAATATAATTGCAAGCTTAGCATGGTGTGATCTATGGACACATATTCTTGTTGATTATAATGTTATTATACAAGGCTTTTCATTTTTACATGCTATACCTATACATTTTATTTTATAGTTAGTAAAAGTATGCAACATTATGATAGAGACGGGAAAGACATTCAAAAAAGCTAGCAGGTATGTTTTCAGTTTATACTGGGCTGTACTCAAGGAAAGGGTGTGGTACAAGGGATGGAATTGACATTAAAGAAAATTACCAGTATAAAAATAAGGAGCTATTGTATGATTGCCAATGAGAAACCTATTCACCAATGAAAAAGGATGTGAACAACTGCAGGTCATTGTACCGGTTTTAAAAATGGGAAAAACCCTACTGTATAGTCAGATATATAAAATTCCAAAGACAAAAAAATGTGAAATAATTCAAAAGTGAAAAAAAATTAACAGCTTAAGATTTAAGGTATGATTATTGATGATTGCAAATGCATTTTCTGGTTTCATTAATTGACCCCTTGACCTCCCATGATCTGCCACTTGGTAGTTGTCTTTCAAACAAGCCATGCATAACATATTTGCAAGTAAATGACAGTGTGTCCAATACAAAATTTTATAATTTTAAATTTGTGTTGTAATATGTGTCATTTTAATGTAAGCAGTATAAGTTTTTATTTTAAATTTTAGTGATTTTATAGTTGGTGTCAGGGACTTAGCATCCTATTTCAAAACAGACGACTTGCTAAATGTAAGTATACATTACTGAAACATACTAATAAATTGGTCAATAAAACATATTAAATTAATAACTTGATATACAGAAATCAGAAAAGAAGATGTGTTATAAAAAAAACCAATAAATTACCAACAACCATGTGTATGCCAACAAGCTAAAAAGACCAACGAAAACCCAACAAACTTTAGATATGACAATTTCATCTTCCCTCTGCTCCAATATTGTTAATTGTCCTTACATATGCAGCTTAGAAAAATTCTTTATCCTTTGCAACTTGAAGCTGTTATTCCTTTGAAATAGAGAATTTCCAAAGAGAAGCATATTTTAAGCCCGCTAATACGTGTGATTTTATATCATTTCCTTTATCAGAAAAACACTGATTTCTGTCGTCATTTAAATGTTAATGATCAAACTGGATCCCTTCCACCTTGAACTGAAAAATAATTGTACCTGCTTGACATTTAAATGTTAATGAGTAAACTGGATCCCTTCCACCTTGAACTGACAAACCATTGTACCTGCTTGACATTTAAATGTTATTGAGCAAACTGGATCCCTTCCACCTTGAACTGACAAATCATTGTACCTGCTTGACATTTAAATGTTAATGAGCAAACTGGATCCCTTCCACCTTGAACTGACAAATAATTGTACCTGCTTGACATAAAAATGTTAATGAGCAAACTGGATCCCTTCCACCTTGAACTGACAAATAATTGTACCTGCTTGACATTTAAATGTTAATGAACAAACTGGATCCCTTCCACCTTGAACTTACAAATCATTGTACCTGCTTGACATTTAAATGTTAATGAGAAAACTGGATCCCTTCCACCTTGAACTGACAAATCATTGTACCTGCTTGACATTTAAATGTTAATGAGCAAACTGGATCCCTTCCACCTTGAACTGACAAATCATTGTACCTGCTTGACATTTAAATGTTAATGAGCAAACTAGATCCCTTCCACCTTGAACTGACAAATCATTGTACCTGCTTGACATTTAAATGTTAATGAGCAAACTAGATCCCTTCCACCTTGAACTGACAAATCATTGTACCTGCTTGACATTTAAATGTTAATGAGCAAACTAGATCCCTTCCACCTTGAACTGACAAATCATTGTACCTGCTTGACATTTAAATGTTAATGAGCAAACTGGATCCCTTCCACCTTGAACTGACAAATCATTGTACCTGCTTGACATTCAAATGTTAATGAGCAAACTGGATCCCTTCCACCTTGAACTGACAAATCATTGTACCTGCTTGACATTCAAATGTTAATGAGTAAACTGGATCCCTTCCACCTTGAACTGACAAATCATTGTACCTGCTTGACATTTAAATGTTAATGAGTAAACTGGATCCCTTCCACCTTGAACTGACAAATCATTGTACCTGCTTGACATTTAATTGTTAATGAGTAAACTGGATCCCTTCCACCTTGAACTGACAAATCATTGTACCTGCTTGACATTCAAATGTTAATGAGCAAACTGGATCCCTTCCACCTTGAACTGACAAATCATTGAACCTGCTTGACATTCAAATGTTAATGAGTAAACTGGATCCCTTCCACCTTGAAATGACAAATCATTGTACCTGCTTGACATTTAAATGTTAATGAGTAAACTGGATCCCTTCCACCTTGAACTGACAAATCATTGTACCTGCTTGACATTTAATTGTTAATGAGTAAACTGGATCCCTTCCACCTTGAACTGACAAATCATTGTACCTGCTTGACATTTAAAAGTTAATTAGCAAACTGGATCCCTTCCACCTTGAACTGACAAATCATTTTACCTGCTTGACTTTAAAATGTTAATGAGTAAACTGGATCCCTTCCACCTTGAACTGACAAATCATCGTACCTGCTTGACATTTTCAAGCATCTGTCTGTATTCTTGTGTACAATTTATTCAAATTATTCAACCCTAGCTACAGAAATGAGTTATTTTATTATATATCAAATTTATGTAGGCTGCGATATGGAAAATTATCCCAACTGAAATATTCATCCCCTTGCTCAGTGTACTGAAATAGATTTTATACCCAACAAACGCACAAATGACATAAAATAACTTCACTTAATACTATAAATACTTTGATTGAAATATATCAATAGGAATCAAGCATAATCAACTTTGTATATTGTAATTAATTGTAATATATATATGACCTCTATATGACCTTCAGGACGACACTAAAGTATCAGTAAGTACTGACCCATCTGATGGCATTTTGTTGTTGTTTGGTTCACTTATTATAGTATTCTCACAATTATATAAGGCATGATGATTTATTAAGACCTACTTTGAGATATGTTTTTATTTTCCTTCATGACCTTTGAGGGATATTGTATATGTAGGGAAACAGTTATATTTTTCATGTCAACTTTAAAAAGTCTCATTGTAAATTTCAAATAATTTTATTGAATAAAAGCAAAATTATCTTGATAAACTTTTTGTTTTAATAATGTTTTTTTTTTTAGAAAGTTTCTAATGAGCTTTTACAAATTGTAAAAATGTATGTTTTAATATAAATATGAATTGTTGCACTGTAATTCAGGATTCCCAATTTTATCTTTCCATTACTTGTTAATTATCTGGATAACTTGCTATCATAGTTAATACAAGAGCTCTCTCTCTAACATGTCTAATCAAAAATAAAAATAAAAACAGCATGTCAAACTGAAAATCTTGTTTGTTTAAATTCATGACTTTCATGCAAATTAAGTTTATTTCAAGGGACTGTGTTACTGAACTTCATTTATATGAAAGGTTTTTACTTATCAATAAGTCCGAGACTTTGGACCTGTAAAATAACAACAAAATTTGCATTACTGAACAAAATTATTGTGGTACAGACACACCCTTTAAGGTCTGTCACAAACACACCAATGGTTCCATGATATAGTCATAGAATTAAACTATAAAATTAATTTATTTTCTCAATATAAATGATATTCTAGATTTTGATATCAAGCTATCATAATTCTGATGTACACGAAGTAGTGATGTGAAAATACATGTAATATATTCTAATCTACATATGCTTAAAGTTCTACATGTTTTTACACCATACAAATTTAATTTGCCTTGCCAAATTATGCCTTTAATGGGAATTAACAATTTTATTTCATTTGCATCCATAAACCTTAAATACATTGATTTCATTTCCCCCCTTTTTTTGGGGAAACATTCCTAAAAAAGGGGGGAACAGTTTGAATAGATTTATTATGCATTATTATCGTGGTGTTGACCTTTGAATCTCTTATTTTTTTGCATGTTGGAAGTGAACTTTGATAATAATAAACCTTAGAACTTGTGACTAAAGCAAGGATATTTTTATACAGAATAATAAATTTGTATGAAAGCATGACAGTCACACTTTTCTTTTGACACCGTGCATGCATGGAAAAACCCCAAATTTCGTACTTTCTTGTACTAGTTATAATTGGCCTTTCAGTGACTTAAAAACTTTTCAACCAAAACAAAGTTATATCATAGCAGATTATATTTATTGAATTAATTTCCATACACCATATATAGTATGTGCTGTTAAGGGGTTTATTTTTTGAGGAGTTTAATTAAATTTCAGTTCCTGAGGTTTCATATTCACGTTTTTCTTGTCTCATTTTCCAATCTACTTTAAATATCAAATTTATGCAAGGGGATATTTTCAGGATGTTATGTAAATCCAGAAATGCAAGAGAAAAAAACCTTAGCAAAACAAATCCTTCTTTACAGTAGTGAGATACCTCTTAATTTGCTGCACTTAATTTTGTTCTTAGATTTAGAAAAGTTTTTCAAATTCACCTATTTAAATTGTTAATTTGAGTAATTGGTAAAAAAATTGTAAAAAGTTTATACCTACCTTAATTAATAAGTAAATTTGTGCGCTGTGGAATTTTCATAATTTGATACTGTAACTTTGTGTTGGTAATATATGTAAGTTGTATTATCGCTATTTTACGAATTTTTCCTTTGATCTTGCTGACTGATAATTTCCATTCTCAGCGGAGTCGAGTGATATGAAAACGGAGTCGAGTGATACGAAAATTATCGCTAGAAACTAAGGGAACACGTGCCGTTGTCAAGGAAATTAACAACGTCTTCATAGGTAAAATAGCGATAAACAGATTATCATTGGTCATCTCAACTCGATTGCTTTTCTTGCTTTCGCCTTACCGGCTCAAGCGAGAAAATCAATCTCGTTGAGATAACCAACGATAATCTATTATTATAATCAGTAAACTAATGTTACAGAATGGTATATTTATATTTCACAGAACTGTTTGTCTAAGTTTGCACATGAAATGACGGAGATGCTGAAATACTTCACAGTAAGTATTTTATTGTGAATAAAACTAAAAGAGACATTCAGTGCTGTGGCTAAAGTGACACACATAAAACCTTATTAGTTATTTTCTGTGATGATAAAATCATGTTTCCAGGGTTCAATTAAAGTGAATATGTGATCTTTTGAATGCCATGTCAAAGCCAGATTATAGACTGATTTAATTATATTCTGGTTAAGCTACATGTATAAAATGTTTTAAAGAAATTTCATCCAATATACCCATAAAAAAACCTTTAAAATCATGTACAGTTAATTTCATTCTGTTTTCCTTCTTTAATAGTTCCTGTTATTTAAACAGTGTTGTTTATATTCCTTGGCAAAATTGCTATTGAAATCCCCAAATTGTAAAAATGGCCTTGCATTGAAATTATCTGACTAAAAATAAATGGATGGTAATTTTTGAGAAAATAATAGTAAATTGGTTGTTATGCGCAATAAAAAAAAGGCAATTATTTTGTTTTTTAATACAATCAAAAGCCTGTGATTTGAAATATATGAATAAAAGGAGATGTGGGGGATACTTCAATGAGACAGCAACCCAATGACAAAAATAACCAAGTATAATGTCACCTAAAGGGCAGCACAGTCTTTAACTATAGATGCTTTTCCAATTTTATACACAAGGGGAGACAACCATATGTATAATAGAAACTTACTATACAAACATATACACAATATTATATAATTTTGCTTTTTACATATCTATGGTAGTTGTTTCTATTGAATGGATAAACACATATTTGTTTTGTAAGATTTCTGTTTTTTAAAATGTGTACTTTTATTTTCATTGTAGATATTGTTAGACCAAGCCAATAGATCTGTTTGTCAGAATATACAGAAATTAATTAAAACGTAAGTTTTAGGATAACTTATGGTTTGGGATCTCTTGTTCCCAGTTTTCAATGCAAATTCAATGGATTAGAGGTTAAAGGTCAATTTGAATATTAAAGGGTTGACTTATCTTTAAAGAATGAAATGTAGAAGCAACATGGCTGCTGGAGTTTTAAATAAAAGTAATATACAAAGTAGTACAGATACTAAGGTAAAACATCTATGGAGTACTGTGCATTTTTCACACTTTTATTAAGTTGCACTTCCCTCTACACAAATTGACGGAAATCAACCAGTTGTCATAGACTTCTTGGCCCCAATATGTACCTTGTACTTTAAGTATCATAGAAACAAAATTTTATGGCTGTTTCTCATCTAGATAGTTGCTGGAAGGTCTTCAACTTACAGCAAGCTACATGGATGTTAAAATCAAAAAAAGAGATTTGCAAAACTTATATTATTCCTGTTTAGATTACCATCCATTTATTGAAAAGGAAAACTGAAACTACAGGTTACAAAATACTTCCCCTTATTTTTAACAAAATTAATTCTCCTAAAATAGCACATTTTTGATAATAATGAATTAATTTTGAATAACAAAACCAAAACCAGTTTAAAGTTTATAGTTTATAGTATTATTGAAATAAACAGTTTATTTCTTGTTAAGGAAGTTCACAGATTAAAGGGAAGTTTAGAGATTAAATTGTTTTTTTCACCGTTATACAGATAGATGATAAGCTGTGTATAGATTATCTTGTTTTGTTACAAATATCAGTGTAAATTACATGATGTTTCCATTTATATAAAAAAAAAATGGATTTAAATGTAACTTTGTTATACACAAGGATGAAAATAACTAGTAACTATAATCTTATTTCCATTTAAGATGTTGTTTTAGCGAAGTTACAAAGTCAGGTTTTTATTTTTATAAATTCAGTACATTATGTAGACATTTTGAATTGGAATATTCTGTTCAGGTAAAAAGGGAGGATTGATTGATTGATTGATTGATTGGTGTTTAACACCACTTTCAACGCTATTGTGCTATTTTGTGGCGATGATTTTTTATTGGTGGAAGAAGCTGTAGAGAACCATCAACCTTTGGTAGGAACGCTGACAATCTTAGTCAATTAAGATAGTCGATTGCACCTGCCACATGCTGGATTTGAACTCACAACCTCAGTGTTGTCAGGCTAGTGATACAGTAGTTCGAATACTTAGACCGTCCGGCCATCGAGGCCTCCCTGAAAAGTGAGGTAAAACCTGTTTCATTTTTGATGACTTACAACTTTTATTTTTCCAGTGATATAAAGAAAGTGAAAGATTCCAGAAAGGACTTTGAGAAGATCAGTGATGATTTAGATTCTGCGTTAAATCGTAATTCTAATGTCCCCCGTACAAAAGTACAGGAGTGTGAGGAAGCTAAAAATATACTGACTGCCAAAAGGTCATGTTTTGCTCATGCGTCACTAGACTATGTCTTTCAAGTAAGATTTACTAAGTTTTTAATTTTAGTTTAAATGTATTCTATTTGCAAAAATAGAACAAAAAGGATAAGATACAAGTCAATCAAACTTAAAACATCTTTTCCTTGTATAAACAGTATATTACAATATACGAGCTGCGTCAGATAGAAATTGAACTTATGCAAATAATCATCAATACATATGTGAACCTATTTCGGGTTGATAAAAATTGGAAAGTCTATCACTGTTTGAAAATTGAGTTGTTGTAAGAACCCTACAAAACAGACCAAAATTCATCTTTTATTTCGTATTTGAATGTTCCAAAATCAATCAAAGTCTTATACATGTACATAGATATAAGAAGATGTGGTATGAGTGCCAATGAGACAACTCTCCATCCAAGACACAATTAATAAAAGTAAACCATTATAGGTCAGAGTACAGTCTTCAACACGGAGCCTTAGCTCACACCGCACAGAAAGCTATAAAGGGCCTCAAAAATTACTTGTGTAAAACCATTCAAACGGGAAAACCAACGATCTAATCTATATAAAAAAACGAGAAACACTTATGAACCACATATAATTGCACTTGGACAAGGTCGATTTCTATCCGACACAGCTCATATGTTTGATACAGCATTCAAATATAAACCTACAAAATAAACGTTATAATTTTTAAGGTATACAAATTAAGGAAAAATAGGAAAAACAGATTATAAGAAGTGACGTCCATTATCACTGAACTAGTATACATATTTGTTTAGGGGCCAGCTGAAGGACTCCTCCGGTGCGGGAGTTTCTCGCTGCATTGAAGACCCATTGGTGGCCTTCGGCTGTTGTCTGCTCTATGGTCGGGTTGTTGTCTCTTTGACACATTCCCCACTTCCATTCTCAATTTTATGTGTATGTGTACATGCATGTTAAACATCTGGTATTTTTCATATGCAGATCAAAGTTATTACAATTGAAATCAACCTCTGAAATCACATTTGTTCGTAAACAATTGCCACCAAGTTGTAGATTTTAACTTAAATGTGTTTCATACCAGTCATCAACACACTGCCAATGAGACAGCAAAAAAAATTTAATTGCTTATGATGACACCATTTGCTTTTGACAGTATATCATCATTTACAACTTTTAACATTTTACGATGTCACCATTTTCTGTAACTCTCAGTTTATTTAGTATTTTTACATGGAAAACACCACGAAGCAAAAACAAAAGTTCATATCAGAATTATGAATAAAACATGATAAAACTTAGAAAATATTGAATGTTGCCACCAATTGAAGTAATACAAGCAGATAGTGTAGAATGTAAGACATAGATTCTTACGGATCTTTATTATAAAAATAAGAAGATTTCTTTTGATTGTGAATGAGACAACTCTCCACAAGACCACAGGACGCAGAAGTTAACAACTATAGGTTACAGTACAGCCTTCAACAAAGAGCAAAACCCATACTGCATAGCAAGCTATAAAAGGCCCTAAATGACAAATGCAGAACAATATCTTTTGTCATGGTGATGATATTTCAAAAGAATAAATTTGTTTTTTATCTTTAAGAAAAAAGAGACTTTTCTGTGTGACAGAGAAGACTATGATTAGTTTACATATTTTACAGATAAATGTTCTCCATTCAAAGAAAAGATTTGATGTTTTAGAAACTGTAAGTATAAATTGAGTTATCTCCCATGTTACTAGAAAAACAAAGTTATTGAGGTGGCAGAAACCAGTTATTTTACAATAAATCTTTAGAATTTCATGGATTTATGATTTTATTTTCTTGAAAATTCATTCAAGCTTACATACAAATAAAATGTATGGATTCAAGTAACTAAGATGTGTGCGTGCTTATGTGAATATATAGAAAACCTTTAAATTTGTGTGTCTGTCCAGCATGGATATTTTAAAATTTATAAATGCATTGCAAATAAGGCAAAAAATGTGATGCTCTGATACCAATCTAATCCTTACCTGCAGAATCCTGCTAAAAGCCGACAAGAATTTTAGGCAAAATTCAAGAGATAAATGATATTCAGTGAATTAGAGCCTTGTCCGAACCTATCCTTACCATCAAAATCTCAAGATATTTTTGTTTACATAAAACTGAAGTTTTTCCCCACTTTGATTGGATGCCGTCAAGTGAGGAGACCACAATTTTGACTTGTGATTGGACCCATTTGTGAAGGAAATCCCCAACCTGTGTATGCAACTACTTACTTGTGTAGTACAATAGCCTAGAATTTACATTCATTTATTTTTTCAGTCCACATGATGCAATTATATACCTCAATGCTTAACTATAACCAAATTTCTGCGTGGGACACATGTTCTGGTACACCAGAACTGGTACCTGCCACCTGAGTTATCTCAAATAATTGGATATCTGCTAAACAAATATACCAGCTATAGTAATATTATATCAACACACCAAACTCTATTCTATATGTTCAATATAAATTATATTGTGTTTATGACTGTCAGATTTAAAAATATATAAGCAAATCGGATAGGAATATATATGAAAATTATGTCAAAACCTTGCACAATTGAATATTTTCAATGTTTTTCTGACAGGAAATGGACCCAGAAGTGACCCAATTATAATCATTCAGACAAGAATTTTTTTTTTTCCTTAAATAAAAAATGAACTATTTCTAAATAATTTGTTGTCTTTATTCATTGTCTCTTTTGTAATGTGAATTAGATGCTCTCATAGTTCTTATGGTTTAAATTTGTTAGATAAAATGAGAGAGAAAATGTCATCTAGTCTTAGGCAAATTAATATTTCTTTTTTTATATTGTGAAAAAATCATAAATAGTCATTCAGTTTTCAAACTGTTTACTCTTGGAGATTATCATTGTTATGAAACCTATAAGTGCACCTCATATTTAATCTGAAGAATGTTTGTTAGATCCCTAGGCAAATCTTGACCTTTGCCATAGCTTTATGTGGTGGCTGGGTTATCATTTTGTGAGCTTTGCTAGCAGATACTTCTAGCCTTTAAATGGAATTTTGTTGACATTATTTTACCATACCTAAGAATGACTGTAAATAGTTTTGAAAATTTCTGAATTTTTTTCCTTTTTTTTTCAGATGTTATCATTCATGCATGCCCATAGTACATATTTTCATCAAGGTCATGACCTTTTCAATGAATTTGATCCGGAAATGAAGAGTATAACTGTACAGGTAAGAAAATAAACAAAGAAATTAAATGGAAAACATTTCCTGAAATATTAAAGAAAAAAGGGGGTAGTAGAAACTTTAAAATACAAACACTATACTATGTCCAAAGAAAATGACAAAAAAGACAACAGTTCACAAAATAATACACAGCAATCTAATGATTTAGCCACTAGGCATTAAACAAGCTACAATCAATCAATCAATGATTCACCAACACAAATACAAACTGTCTTTTAATATTTTAAGGTTACTGAATTATTATTAGATGATAGATTTTTGAAGGCACTAAATTTTTATATTTTCATAGTAACTTCAAATGCATAAAGACATAAAAGTCTTTGGAATATTGCATTTAGTTCATGAAAATATGCAAAAATAAATACCCCAACATCATGCTTGACAGAGCTGAAGTAGCAGATAACCAGCGAAAAAGGAAATATTTATAACAAAAATAGAAACGTTCTATGTTAGCCATGGATTACTGTTTTGAGAAATTTTAAATTATATTTGATTTAAGGGCAAATTTTGCCGCAAATCGGACCTTCTCTTTCCTTGGCTTAGGAAATTACAATTAGAGCATGATTCATTGACAACATATTTATTCCAATTCCATCTGTTAGTATTACCATTAATTTTGCAAGACAGAATTTATTAAATAGTACATAATACAATCGATTTCTTGCCCTGATATGATAAATTGAGATTCTTTCATATTATTGAATTGTCAAATTCAACCTAGCCTCTAAAGGGATGAAAACCATCGCAGTTCTGTCCCATGATAAATATATTGACAGTTATACTGTTAAATCTTCAGGTAGATGAGTTGAGAGTGAAAGCTACACAGGAGAGAAGAGAAATGGAAGAACGTCACACATTAGTCCAGAAAAAAGTAAGCCTCATTTCTTTTCACATTTATGTTCATAGTAGAGCACTTTCATGGACATACAACCATATATGACCCACAGCCCCTGTCTTAAAGTAAATGTTTCCTTCCTATCAGTCCACATTCGTTTAATGGAATAGCCCTAATGTGGATCTGACATGTTTTAGGTGTACTTTATTATTCCTTATCACTTCTGCAGAGAAATGTTCCATCAGGTTTATTGTGTGATTTATATAACAATAAAAAAATGTCAATATACATCGTTTTAAAAAAAGTTACCTTTACAAACATTGAAATGCTTTGAATTAGTTATTACCTTCTTTTATTATGAGTTGACGTAATTAGAAATATGGTAGCAGAAATAAGTTGTGAATCATAACTGATGTCTCAGTGTATAATAAATTCTATTAGAAAAGCTTTGAACAAATTAAAACTTATATATACTAATACAAACAGTACAGTTAGATATCAGGTGGGTTTTCCCTTTAATTTGGAATTCTCTGTGTTTGTATCATATCTATTCAGAGGCAAGCTTCCTCGTCATTTGGTTTCTGGTGGAAAGTTATCTCATTGGCAATCATACCACATTTTCTTATTTTTAAAGTAGCTCACAGTTCAGTTTGTTTGTTAACTGTTCTAATGACAATCACAGATACCAGTTTATGCTCAGTTTGAAAACTCTAAGGAAACAATGTGAAAACTTCGTCAATAATTTTATAACTTTCTAACACATTTTTTGACTTGATAGTTGATATGATAAACTATTTGATTTGATTTCATGCTTTACAAACAGAAAACAGGAAAGGTTGGTATGTATAAAGTTTATTTTGTGTCATTTGTCCTGCTTTTAATTCCCGTGCTTTCTAAAGCGGACAATAAATAGTTAGGAGGGAGTCTGATAAACTATTTGACCTTCTGTCCCACTTTTGTGTCCCCAACTGCTCCCGAATTGCTGGGCAGAAATTTTATGAAACTTTTACATAATCTTACTGACATGATTTACTTTTGACCCTGCTATTTCATTTCTTCCCCTCTTTTGGGGTTAACTTTGAGATAACATGGACATTGTCATATCTGCATGATATACTACACATCTGCTTCTCTTCCTAAGCCTTTCATTATTATTCAATGAAACTTCCTTAGAATCTTTATCTTATTATGCTATTTTTCACCTCCTATTTTGCTTTTAGATTCAAATTATTTTTGGGGTTTCCCTTAACAAAGCATTGACCTTGCCATTATTTTATCTTGGGGGCAGCCATTTTGTATCTGCAACTTCTCCTAAACCTGTTATTACAATTCGTTGAATCTTTTTTTTTCAATTTTAACTTTATAATGTTTTTGTGCACCTCCTATTTTGTTGTTTAATCAGAATCATTTTTGAGGTTTGTATTAGGACCTCACAGACTTTTCAAAGTGCTAGGGTAAGCATTTTGTGAGCATTGCTCATCCTAACTTATCGTCAATTATTGGCGATTCCTTTAAAAATTTGAGAGAACCAAATAAAACCTCAGTCTTTCATCAAGTAACTGATGAACTCTGTTGCCCTTGTTACCTAATGGTAGATTCAGTGAATGAAGTCAATTTTGTTCATGCAAATAAGAACACAAAAAAATCTCACTGAAGTGGCACAAGTTAATGTGGATCCCTACAACAGTATGCTTCCAAGAAAAATACAATCTGACACCATGTTATAACTACATATACACCTGTATATTGTTGAAGACCATATTTTGACCTGGCTGTCTTTTGTATTTCATATTGTTAAGTTCATGTCTCACTGACATTAACACAACATCTCCTTTTATTCATTTATGTATATAAATAGATGGAAAGTAGAAGGTCAACATTAAAGTTCTGTGAATGGAAAATAGTTACAACTGATTGTCAGGTCTTCCATCCAACAACTTTTAATTTGTTCCATCATTGAAGCCATATTTTCATGAATAACCATTGCTCTTTTGAGTTTACAGGTCTTTTTGAATACCTTCTTTATCATATTAAATAAGGAGTAGTAGTATGATTGCCAATGAGACAACTAATCACCAAAGACCAAATAATGTGGATATAAGCAATTATAGGTCACAGTATAGCCTTCAACAATGAGCAATACCCATACCCTAAAGTCAGCTATAAAATTCCCAGAGTGAGACATGACAAAATGTTAAACAATTTAAACAAAAAATCCAACAGCCTGATTTATAACAAAACAATAATGAAAAACAGGCAGCAACGAACAACAACCACTAAATTACAGGCTCCTGACTTAGGACGGGCATACACAGAACGTGGCAGGGATAAACCTGTTTGTTAGTGCTCAATCCTCTCCTAGCCTGGGACATTGATGTAACAGCACAGCATAAGAACAAGTTGGAAATGGCTTGACTCATCAGATTGGCACACAGCACAAGATTCAACTAACATTAAGAAAGACAAAAGTGCAAATCTAAGTGAACTCCAAATTACTGAAAGCTAGTACAAAGCCATTAACAACTAACAAGTAAAATTGTTCTCCCAGACTTGCATGTTTACATCCAAATCCTTTTGTAAATATGATATACACATTGCATTTGGTCAATTTTTTTTAATTTTTATTTATTGTCAAAACTAAAATGATAAACATAGTAATGGATAAGACTTAAGTTACAAACTTATTAAAGTCTTCTCAATGTATATCTAGATTACAAACTATTTCATGACATAAATCTGATTTATTTAGAACTGTGCATAAACAGTGTCATTTGGTCTCTCTTGTGGAGAGCTGTCTCATTGGCAATCATACCACATCTTCTTTTTTATATTGTTTAAGAATTTTTAACAATGATTTTAACTGTTGTTATTTTTTGCCTATTTCATGATCACATGAAATTTGTGAAAAAAAACTCCTGCATGAATAGTTTGACAAGGTAACACTATTGGTATGAAGGGCTAACTTATTTTGTTAAAACACAAATTTTACCCCTGCATGAAATGTTGATGCCTTGAAATTGTGAAAATAAAATCCTGCGAAAATATCCTCATTTAATGTATTTACTTAAAATTATCAAAACTGAACTCTGATATATTCAAAAATAAATTAATTTTGTTGTAAGAACCAAACATAATATTACATTGATAGACCTTTCATATTATTGACCTTGTTTTGTATAGAAATAAATAAAAAAGTACTGAAAATGATACAAAATATACTCAGATGCAATATACTGGTAATTTGATTGTGTTTTAAATTAACTTTTGATCAAAGAAGGTGAAGTTGTAAAGATGAAGATAAATCCATCTTATGTATAACCTGAAGCAAAAAAATTGAAAGCCCTAAAAAAGTCAAGAGATTCTTTTAAGGATTTTATAATGTCAAGACCTCAGGCTTGGAATTTACAATAGAAATATAAAAAGTTTTGTTATATCAACACATAAACTAAATCATCAAAACTATTGTCATCACTAAATTTTCAATGTTATTACTACGTCTGTAGATAATTACAGCTATACATATCACGTTCTTCCTAATATTCTATCCTTGCAATACAGGTATAGGGGAAGAAACTTGATTTTTCTTTCCTTTCTTGTTCTTCCTTTTACAAATTCTCTTTCCATCAGGTCCAACTGTACATCTGCGTTGTCTGCGTGGACAAATCTTTTTCCCACTAGCATCAACAACACATCTTTTATGTCTCCTTTTGATTCTACTTCGATCTCGCTTTTTCTTTCCTTTTCTATTTTTCTTATTTTTCCTCTTTTTGTTTTTCTTGTTCTTGTTCTTTTTATTTTTCTTCTTCTTCTTCTTCTTCAACTTTGTAGGCTTGATATCTGGACTGCTGTTGTCCTGAGTGTTTTTTGGTTGAGCAAGATCACCCCTAGAAACACTGACGACTAACTCTTGTGTATCACTTTGTTGAGTTATTTCCCTTGGTTTAACAAATTCACTGTTATCAAGGCTGGTTAACTCCCTTCCCTCTATTTCCTTTGGGGCTGCACAGACTGGAGGGTCAATATTATAAAATGAAATATCATCCGATCTTTTCATCCATTCTTGTAGCCATTTCAATGTTGAATCACAATACAAGGGGTTTCCATCTAAAAATAACTTCTTCACATTTGGTAGGGTACGTTTGAGGTTTTCTGGTAAACTTTCTAGTTCATTATACTGTAAAGCAAGAATAGATGTTTTTTCCATTACTTCACTGTTGGGTTGTTGGACCAGTTTGAGAAATGATTTGACTAAACCTGGGCTGTTCATCATGTTGACATTTTCAGCGTTAGAAATTGCTTGTATGAAGTCACGGTTTAGTTGTGTGGTAGTAGTTTGAAAGTAAGAGAGACTGATTTCATTCAACTTGGGTAGATCCTTCATGGCATCTTTCTCAATTAGCTTTAATGGATTATTTGAAAGTTTTAAACATTCTAGACTGGGTATATTAACAAAAGCCCCTGGCGTCAAAACCTGTAAATTGTTGGCGTTGAGGTTGACACTTCTCAGCTTTGGCATTTCATCCCAAGCACCCTCAGCAATACGCTCAACTCTGTTGGTATCAAGGGAGAGAACTTCCAATTGTGAATTGATTGCAAAGTTTCTCTGTGCTATTTCATAAATCCCATTATGATCAAGGAAGAGTTTGTGAATGTTTCTTGGGAGAAGTCTTGGAATGGACTTTAGTTGGTTATTACTAAGCCATATTTCCATCAGTCTGTCTAAATACCCAAAAGCCTTGTCGTCCACTTTGGTTATTTGGTTATTGTTTAATGTTATCAAATGTAAGTTAGTGATGTTTTCAAAATGTTCTGCTTTTATTTCTGTCAGTTTGTTATTTCCCAAGCGGAAGTCTGCTACAGATGCTGGCATTTTCCCTGGGACATCTTCTAATAGACAATTTGTAAAATCAACAAGTTGTAAAATATTAGATCCAAATTGTAATTCAGGAACACGTACAATGGGATTTGAGCTCAAACTCAGATATCTCAACAATTTCAGATTGGCAAAAGTCTTTGGTGAAATTCTTGTGATCTGATTTTGGCTAAGATCAATCATCCTTAAGTTGGTGCTCAGTTCAAAATTTTCATCTTCAAGTGACTCTATTTGATTGGATACCATGTTAATTGTATGTAGTGAATCAAGACCATTAAGGGACCTTCCAATCCTTGAGATTCTTGTGCTGGTAATAGATAACAAACGTAGATGTGCGAGTCCGTCGAAGGCTTTATCTTGAATAAAGACTATAGGATTGTTAGATAAGTCTATACTCATTAGGGAAGGCAGACTTTTGAAGGACCGGTCCAAAACTTCACTGATGCCGTTACCAGACATACGAAGGGTCTGAAGTGACGTTAGTTCCTGGAAACTACTACTGGAAAGTTCCGTTAATTGATTACTGGAGAGGTCCATAGTAGTGACAGTATTTGGGAAATTTCTAGGGATGTCCCTAATTCCAGTACCAAGACAATTAGCTATACCACTATCACATGAGGTACACTCAGCTGGACATGTCTGACCAAAGGTTGCCAATGGCAACACAACCAGCAGAAGTACAGCTTTCAAAATCATCCTGTCATCTGAAAAGAGAGTAAAGATTTTATAAAAAATATGCAGTAATCTTTATAAAACATGAATATTTTGCTTATACATTGGCAGTTCATATATTTGAAGTGACTTCTAAAATAAATCAAAAGTGCCATTTAATGAACTTCTTATAAGACCCTTTTAATTTTTCAAAGTTTTGATATGCTGAAGACAGGTGTCATATGCTCTGTTTATTTCTCTTGGTTTGTATATTTCAAATGAAATTATGAGTTATGAACATGGAAAAACTACTGTATATATGTGAAGGGTGTAGAGTGTAACATTAATCTATATATCAGTCAGTTATATTAGCTAACACTTTGGATTTATTGGCAATCTCATCATCAGATTGAACCCATCTGTCTGAGAATTAATGGCATCAGATTGACTGCATCAGCCTTAAAATTGATGGCATCAGATTGTAATGCATCTGTCTAAGAATTGATGGGAGAGACATGCTATTACATGTTGTAATAAGTTATTATCTCTGACAATGTTTGGACAATGTTTTAATTATGGTTGATTTGTATTGACAGGGGGAGATGTTTTTAGATAAATAAAGGAGCATATATTATCAAAATAAACAGTGAACTTATAGTGACCTGTAAACATTGTGTATATGATACTGTAAACAAATGTAACAGATTGGTCTTCTCTCTTGTTAGCAATTATCATTTTCATTCAGTAATTGCTAATTATTACATTGATAAACTGAAATTTTAGCTTACTTCAATAACCATTGGGTTGCTATCATTTAGATAAGATGAAAAGTTTTGCAAGAACAAAGTTCAGAAGCTTTTTTTAGAATCTAAACATTGTTAGTTCATTTGACTTTTCTACCAGAAAAAGTTGCTGATAACACATAGATTTTAGACTTGAATTCAATCACTGTCCTTACATTGTCAAGTATTACATAATTGTGTGTCCACACTTCTTAGACAGACACACAGTCCTAACATTGTCTAGTGTTATATTATTGTGTGTCCACATTACTTATACAGAAGCATAGTCCTTACATTGTCTAGTGTTACATAATTGTGTGTCAACACTTCTTAGACAGAAGCACAGTCCTTACATTGTCTATTGTTACATAATTGTGTGTATTGCATTGTCTAGTGTTACATAATTGTGTGTCCACACTTCTTAGACAAAAGCAAAGTCCTTACATTGTCTAGTGTTACATAATTGTGTGTCCACACTTCTTAGACAGAAGCACAGTCCTTACATTGTCTAGTGTTACTTAATTGTGTGTCCACACTTCTTAGACAGAAGTATAGTCCTTACATTGTCTAGTGTTACATAATTGTGTGTCCACACTACTTATACAGAAGCATAGTCCTTACATTGTCTAGTGTTACATAATTGTGTGTCCACACGTCTTAGACAGAAGCACAGTCCTTACATTGTCTAGTGTTACATAATTGTGTATCCACACTTCTTAGACAGAAGTATAGTCCTTACATTGTCTAGTGTTACATAATTGTGTGTCCACACTATTCATACAGAAGCATAGTCCTTACATTGTCTAGTGTTACATAATTGTGTGTCCACACTACTTAGACAGAAGCACAGTCCTTACATTGTCTAGTGTTACATAATTGTGTGTCCACACTTCTCAGACAGAAGTATAGTCCTTACATTGTCTAGTGTAACATAATTGTGTGTCCACACTACTTAGAACTAAGTATAGTCCTTACATTGTCTAGTGTTACATAATTGTGTGTCCACACTTCTTAGACAGAAGCACAGTCCTTACATTGTCTATTGTTACATAATTGTGTGTATTTCATTGTCTAGTGTTACATAATTGTGTGTCCACACTACTTATACAGAAGCATAGTCCTTACATTGTCTAGTGTTACATAATTGTGTGTCCACACGTCTTAGACAGAAGCACAGTCCTTACATTGTCTAGTGTTACATAATTGTGTGTCCACACTTCTTAGACAGAAGCACAGTCCTTACATTGTCTATTGTTACATAATTGTGTGTATTGCATTGTCTAGTGTTACATAAAATGTGTGTCCACACTTCTTAGACAAAAGCATAGTCCTTACATTGTCTAGTGTTACATAATTGTGTGTCCACACTTCTTAGACAGAAGCACAGTCCTTACATTGTCTATTGTTAAATAATTGTGTGTATTACATTGTCTAGTGTTACATAATTGTGTGTCCACACTACTTATACAGAAGCATAGTCCTTGCATTGTCTAGTGTTACATAATTGTGTGTCCACACTTCTTAGAAGCACAGTCCTTACATTGTCTAGTGTTACATAATTGTGTGTCCACACTTCTTAGACAGAAGCATAGTCCTTACATTGTCTAGTGTTACATAATTGTGTGTCCACACTTCTTAGACAGAAGTATAGTCCTTACATTGTCTAGTGTTACATAATTGTGTGTCCACACTTCTTAGACAGAAGCATAGTCCTTTCATTGTCTAGTGTTACATAATTGTGTGTCCACACTTCTTAGACAAAAGCACAGTTCTTACATTGTCTAGTGTTACATTATTGTGTATCCACACTTCTAAGACAGAAGCACAGTCCTAACATTGTCCACACTACTTATACAGAAGCATAGTCCTTGCATTGTCTAGTGTTACATAATTGTGTGTCCACACTTCTTAGACAGAAGCACAGTCCTTACATTGTCTAGTGTTACATAATTGTGTGTCCACACTACTTAGACAGAAGCATAGTCCTTACATTGTCTAGTGTTACATAATTGTGTGTCCACACTTCTTAGACAGAAGTATAGTCCTTACATTGTCTAGTGTTACATAATTGTGTGTCCACACTTCTTAGACAGAAGCATAGTCCTTTCATTGTCTAGTGTTACATAATTGTGTGTCCACACTTCTTAGACAAAAGCACAGTTCTTACATTGTCTAGTGTTACATTATTGTGTATCCACACTTCTAAGACAGAAGCACAGTCCTAATATTGTCTAGTGTTACATAATTGTGTATCCACACTTCTAAGACAGAAGCACAGTCCTTACATTGTCTAGTGTTACATTAAAGTGTGTCCACACTACTTATACAGAATATGAAATTCTTTTTGTGAACTTATTTTGTTGCAAGTGGTAATAGTTATAAAAAAGGATTTCTAAAATAAAACTGATAGCCTTCAAAACAAAATTATTTAAACTACACTGGGTTAATCTAAGGTAATGTTACCTTTATAAAATTATCACATGAAAATGATAATTTAGGTTTCCACCGCTAACAAATTTAAACATTATAAATATAATTGACCACTAAAAACTAAATCTAGCTACAGATAAATATTATTTTCTGCTTTAACATTTGTCTTTTCCCTTGCATAGGTTGAAGCTATTAAAAACTTTATAGCCAACTTGAAGTAGTTAACAATAAAACTATTTGACTTTGATGTTATTAAGTCCCCCTGATCGTGCCCATTGGCCTTGTATTTAATCTTTATTCACAATACAGATATTTGATGGAGAAACTGAGCATATAACATGCATTTGGTTTGTTACCCGACCTGCACCTAATGTATATAGGGAAATTTAAAACATACTTTCATCCTTAATTGATAATTGTTTTGTATAATTTTAACGGACAGAGTTTGTTGCTACTTTTTAAGTGCATTAGGCAAAACAAAACATTTCTTTTATCTCATATCTTTTCTTAAATGGATAAAAGAAGATATGGGTTTACATCAATGAAACAGTAACCAAACAATACAAATTAAAAGACATTTAAAGGACAACATGTTGTCTTCAACAATAGGCAGGTCTATATAAAATATTAGCGCGGGAGGTCGTGGGTTCCAACCCCGGTCAAGTCAAACCAAAGACTTTAAAATTGGTATAGTTGCTTCTCTGTTAAACATGCGGCATTAAGGAGTAAGAGCAAAGACTGGTCTGCTCGGAGTCAGGGTTAGGTGACATGTCTTCCTGCGGATTGTTACCTTGTGAAGTAGCACGTTAAAACTCCTGCTCAGCCTATCGATCTAGTACAAAGCAGGGTTAAAATTCATATTACATTAACAAGTTCTCGTCCTGAATATGCATATTAATTTGCCACTGGACATTTAGCAGCCATCCATCATCATCATTATATACACTATGTTAAGCTTTTCTATAGTAGAGCTTACTACAGTTGTTAACATAAGAAAAATGTAAAATTTGGTTAGAAGTTCATTTTCTTTTATATTTTGAGTTTATCTGAACCGAATCCTTTTAGAATTTCTAATAGACACCAGGAAATAGTCATTAGAAAATTATTTGTTGTAGGAAAGGACAATTCTTTGCTTCAAGGGTCATTTTCAGAAGTTTTCACAAGTAGACCTGCATATAAACAGTATCATTGCATTATCTTGAGCATTCAATATGAAACTTATGAAGATGTGGTATGAATGCCAATGAGACAACCCTCCACCAGAGACCAGAGACCAAAATGATGTTGAAGTGGATCAAATAAACAATTTTATCATAAATCAGGGTGTAGGTGTTTTAGTTTGAATTGTTTCACATGTTGTGATGTGGGAACTGACTTTATGGTATGGGTTTTGCTCAATGTTGAAGGCCTGTTACCTAAAGTTGCTTAGGTCTACATCATTTGTTCTCTGATAGATAGTTGTCTCATGTGTAATCATACATTATCTCCTTAGACCTGATACATTTTACAGCCTATATATACTTTAACCAATTTTCCAGCATCTGGTTGGTTCAATTTAAATCTTATATAAAGAGTTTTAATTTGTAAGAAATTTTTTTTGAAATATTTAGAACAATGTACCTGATTCATTAGATTCATTATGTTAACATAGTTCCACATTTGCCAATTTTAAGTTTCAATGCCAAAAACTATTTATAAAATTGAAAAGATTTGACCATTGCAAGAAATTCCAATAATGACTTTTTCTGTGATGAATGAAATTTCAACAGTTCATAATGATATTTTTAATTAGATTATGTTTGAAAAAAAGTAGAAAAGGCACATTCCATGCACTTATCATTTCAATGAAAAGATGTAAAAAAAATATATATATTTTCCTGCCAAGATGTTTCTTGTAAGCTGCTGAGAAAAAGCATTGAAGAATTTTGATTGTTCTGGCCTTATGATACAATCTTTGCAGAAAATGCATTGTAGACATTCTATGTGTACCGGAGAATGCCAAATCTCTGTCAGATTTAATGCACAGTAATTAAATCACAAAGATATCATCTTTATTGACTGATTAGTATTGTTTGTTTGGTGCACTTAGATCTCGTCTTAGATGTTGCTTCAAACAAAATACAAATTAAAATCCAGAAGTCATGTTTTACTATCAATTTTCAAAACATACTCTTTACATCCCAAAGTCTCATTGACTCCCTAATAGTGTTATGAATAATAACCCATCCCCAAATAGTATATCATAATTATACAAGATGTAAAGTAACTACGGTAATAGAACCTGATAGGCACAATATAATTGGCTTGAAAAAAGCAATGTTCAGAAACCTGTTGGGTAAATAGCATATTTAGTTGAAGGGAGTATAAATTTAGCAGTTTTCTTTCTACAAATAACATTCAGTAAAATTGCATTTTTTTTAATTAGAAAATTCCTATAAATTAATATTTTTTGTTGCTTTTTGAATTAAATACACATGTGATGATGGATTTACTATAACGTAAAAACACAAGAAAATATGTATATATCCAGATAATTAATTCTTCTGATGAGAATTCTTCTTTGTAATTTATCTTTCAATAAAAGAAGCATCATCATCAGCAAAGTCTTTGAAGAAGTTATGTAACTGGATGTTTATTTCAACCATCATTGCAAGATGTCAATTTAATGAAAATAGTTTGCTTTGAGTGAAGTTTGGTTCATGTTGTCTGGTGATAATCCTACAATTTATTTAATTATATTTATATAAAATACACCTGTTTATACAGAATGGGGGATTTTGTGTGACATAATTCCGTTATGTAAACAGTGCAGGAAAATTCATTTAAAGATTGCTGATTCAGCAAAAGATAATTTTTTTTAATTAAAGAAGTTAACAGAAGGTTAAAACACATTCCAACTTTTGAAATAGAGTCAGCCTAAATATAGCATTGAAAATTTGAAGTGTACATCTGGTATAAGTTTTCTGACATGCTGCTCCATGGTATATCATACACTGATGATGTGATATTTGTAAATAAATAAGACACATGTGATGATGGTATATTGGTACATTCTTACACTTGCAATTTTATTAACTACAATAAGTGTATGTATATTTTTGATGATATCTCAGTTTGTTCCTGGAATCAGGTTTATGATAGAATTAATTTGCAAGAAACTTTGGTGAATTGTTTATAACTATTGATGTGTGCTCCCTATCAATTTTTATGAATTTTAGATTTTACGTTTCCGAGTTATGGGGTTTTATTCATTTTCATGTTGTTTGTTTTTTGGTCATTTTTCTGTTTTTTTTGCCAATGTATTGTCAGTTTGTTATTTATACGACCGCAAAAAAATTTTGCGGTTGTATATTGGTATGACGTTGGTTTTCGCACTCTAACTTTAGTTAAAGTAAATGGATCTCTATGAAATTTTACCATAAGGTTCAATACCACAAAAGGAAGGTGGGGATTGGTTTTGGGGGTTATGGTACCAACAGTTAAGGAATTAGGGGCCAAAAATAAGCATTTTTGTAACTTCCAGACATAACTTGTGTGTTAGTGTATGGATCTCTCTGACATTGTACCACAAGGTTCCATATCACAAAGGGAATGCTGGGATTGATTTTGGGGGTAATTGTCTCAAAATTGTAGGAATTAGGGGCCAAAAAAGGGGCAAAAAACAAGCATTTTTCTAGTTTCATGACAATAACTTGTGTGTAAGTGTATGGATCTTTATGAAATTGTACTACAAGGTTCCATATCACAAAGGGAAAGCTGGAATTTAGTTTGGGTGTAATTGCCCAAAACGTTTAGGAATAAGGGGCCAAAAAGGGGAAAAAAAACAAGCATTTTTCTAGTTTCCAGACAATAACTTGTGTTCAAGTGCATGGCTCTCTCTGAAATTGTACTGCAAGGTACCATACCACAAAGGGAAGGCTGGGATGGATTTTGGGGGTGATTAATCATGAGGGGGTTAAAAAAATTGGGGGGGGGGGGGGGGGGGGTTTCTTTAAAATTTTCCATTTTCAATTGGTTATTTCTGATTTATATATAAAAGCAAAAAATAATGATATGGTTTGTATAGGTAAATTAAAATTTTTTAAGTTCTTTGACCACATTCTGTGTCAGAAACCTATGCTGTGTCAAATATTTAATTACAATCCAAATTCAGTGCTGTATCAAGCTTAAATGTTGTGTCCATACTTGCCCCAACTGTTCAGGGTTTGACCTCTGCGGTCGTATCAAGCTGCGCCCAGTGGAGCATTTTATCTACTTATGAGTTTGAATGTCCCTTTGGTATAGTCTTTGGCCTCACCTTGACAGTGATGAGTTGTAACATATTAGTACCTTTCATATCTGTCTGATTCCCTCTTCCTGTTTTCCAATACTTTGTGAATTACGAGGAGGGGTATGCTTAGCATGACAACATGGGAATTAAAACTCTTCTTGTCTGTTTATTAAGAATTTCCAAAATTTCAAGATGCATGCTGATTTTATAAAAATTAGAAGGCAGGGAGAATATCAACTAAGTTTTTAATTGTATCTTTTATGTTTGTCAGCAAAGTAAATACTCTTTAGTCATGATATAAAAGGCTAATTTTTAGCTGGTGTCATATGGTATTTTAACCCTGACAAATATATAAACAATACATACAAAAAAAATATCTGGAATTCTGTAAAAGGAATTATCAGCCAAGGCCCTTGGGAATTATAAAAAAAAAGATTCTAGATCTTGCTTTGATGTTTGTGCATGAATATTTTTAGGAAATAATCAAAATCATAAAGTCATGTGATATCAACAATAAATGATTTATGTAACACTATAAAGACATTTAAATGATAAAGAACAAAAATCAAAACACAAAATATACTCTCTTCAAAGTATTCATCCTTAAGCATTGTTTATTGGAAAGGACAAAAAAAATCAATTAAAAGTTTTTTTGCTGTAAGAAGAAATTATTGTATTCTGGAAAGTTTCATTCAGACAACCTGATAATACTGATAACTATAAGAATTTTGTTAAATGAAATGGGCACCACTTTAATTTAAGTAGAATTAAACAAATTAAATTTGTCGAAAAGAGTATATATTTCTTATTTACAAGCTTTGAAAATTTGACAAAAAAATAAAATGATGAAAAATTGTAAAAAAAAATAACTAAAGTAGTAGTTTTCTAGATATTTTGATAAATTATTAAAATAATATTATGATATATAAATATGCAAATGTAAAAATTCTGAGGTAAAAGTATTTGACTTGATATAAAAACTTTTTTGCCAACCTACCTGTTAATATAGAGATATAAATCCTTGGTTCACATAGTAGATGTAGTGGGACTGTAAGCTATGTCATATGACTCACATCTGATTCTGAGGGAGATGTGGGTGGAACGTGGTCGTGTAAACATAATAATGTTATTGTTATATACTTAATAAAAGTTATGATTAAACGATCATCATCAACATCGTATTATAGTTCATCATTCATGTAAAATTAAAATGCTTGTTCTAAGTTAATAGATTGGGAAATTTTGTAATTGATTCTGTATTAAAGTTTTATTAGTTTGAAATTTTGTAATTGATTCTGTATAAAAGTTTTAATGGTTTGAAATTTTAAGGTCGTAGAAAGTCATAAAAAGTAAAATTTGTTTGACAGAACTTAGTCACTGGTAATTTATAGCTGACTGTGCGGTATGGGCTTTGCTCATTGTTGAAGGCCATATGGTGACCTATAGTTGTTAATTTCTGTGTCATTTGGTTTCTTGTGGAGAGTTGTCTCATTTGCAATCATACCACATCTACTTTTTTATAAGTATACAATTCAGATCATGTTTATGTTTTGAAATATGCCAATGAATATAAAGCTCTTTGTCTATGTTCTTTGACAATGCAATCTGCCAAGATCAAAAATTTTATTAACATGAAACCTTTTTAGCTCACCTGGCCATCACTTGGCGTCTGTCGTCCGTTGTTGTTTTCCTTTAACTTTTACAAAAATCTTCTCTTCAGAAACCACTGAGACAAATTTAATCAAACTTATCCAAAATCCTCATTTGGGTATCTAGTTTTAAAATGTGTCCAATGAACCTGCCTTCCAACCAAGATGGCAGACGGCTAAAAACAGTACATAGGGGTTAAATGCAAGTTTTGAATATATTGAAAGCCGCTATTAATAGAGAAATTCTGATAAGGGCAAAAATGTTCAAAATGTTGAGCTCTATCTATTGTTCATGTTCGTCAAAATTGTCAGATGACTTCTTGTAGGATTATTGCCTTTTTTTTTTTCATTTTTGCCTAATATCTTAAAAACTATATTAGATAGATAGGAACTTCAAATAGCAAAAATGATCAGCAAGACAAGATCTACAAATAATGCAATGTGGCTGAAATTGTTAGTTGACTCCTTATTGAAGTTATTTCCCTTTAATGACGATTTTTTCCATTTTTATACGGCCGCAAAAATATTTTTGTGGTCGTATATTGGTATGACATTGGCGTCGTCGTCGTCGTCGTCCGAAGACACATTGGTTTTCGCACTCTAACTTTAGTTTAAATGAATGGATCTCTATGAAATTTTACCACAATGTTCAGTACCACAAAAGGAAGGTTGGGATTGATTTTGGGGGTTATGGTACCAACAGTAAAGGAATTAGGGGCCAAAAAGGGGCCAAAAATAAGCATTTTTGTAACTTTCAGACATAACTTGTGTGTTAGTGTATGGATCTCTCTGACATTGTACCACAAGGTTCCATATCACAAAAGGAATGCTGGGATTGATTTTTGGGGTAATTCTCTCAAATTTTTAGGAATTAGGGGCCAAAAAAGGGGCAAAAAACAAGCATTTTTCTAGTTTCATGACAATAACTTGTGTGTAAGTGTATGGATCTTTCTGAAATTGTACTACAAGGTTCCATATCATAAAGGGAAAGCTGGAATTGAGTTCGGGGGTAATTGCAGAAACGTTTAGGAATTGGGGGCCAAAAAGGGGCCAAAAAACACATTTTTCTAGTTTCCAGACAATAACTTGTGTTCAAGTGTATGGATCTCTCTGAAATTGTACTGCAAGGTACCATACCACAAAGGGAAGGCTGGGATTGAGTTTGGGGTGATGAATCATAAGGGGGTTCAAAAAATTTGGGGGGGGGGATTTTTTTTTTTTTCCTTCTCTTTCTTTTTTTTGCACAATAGCAAGAAATCTTCAATTGCACAGTATTGTGCAATAGCAAGAAATCTTCAATTGCACAATATTGCACAATAGCAAGAAATATCCAATAGCACAATATTGCGCAATAGCAAGAAATTGTCAATTGTACAGTATTGCGCAATAGCAAGAAATATTTAATTGCACAGTATTGTGCAAAAGAAGATACTTCATATAAATTGCTTATTTCTTGACCAATTTCAATGGGGTTTTATTCTTGAATTCTTGGGGTTCTTTTATATGCTGAATCTAACCGTGTATTTAGTTTTTGGATTTTGGGCCATGTTTTAAAATTGGTCCACATTGAGGTCCAAAGGGTCTAAAATAAAACTTTGTTTGATTTCATCAAAAATTGAATTATTGGGGTTCTTTGATATGCTGAATCTAACCGTGTATTTAGATTCTTAATTTTTGGTTCTGTTTTCAAATTGGTCTACATTAAGGTCCAAAGGGTCCAAAATTAAACTTAGTTTGATTTTAACAAAAATTGAATTCTTAGGGTTCTTTGATATGCTGAATCTAAACATGTATTTAGATTTGTGATTATGGGCCCAGTTTTCAAGTTGGTCCAAATCGGGGTCCAAAATTAAACTTTGTTTGATTTCAACAAAAATTTAATATATATGGGGTTCTTTGATATGCTGAATCTAACCATGTATTTAGATTTTTGATTTTTGGGCCCTGTTATCAACTTTGTCCACATTGAGGTCAAAAGGGTCCAAAATTAAACTTTGTTTGATTTCATCAAAAATTGAATTCTTGGGGTTCTTTGATATGCTGAATCTAACCATGTATTTAGATTTTGGATATTGGTCCATAATAGGTGAATGTCCAATTTAAAATTTTTAAGTTCTTAGACCACATTCATTCTGTGTCAGAAACCTATGCTGTGTCAAATATTTAATCACAATACAAATGCAAAGCTGTATCAAGCTTGAATGTTGTGTCCATACTTGCCCCAACTGTTCAGGGTTCGACCTCTGCGGTCGTATCAAGCTGCGCCCTGCGGAGCATTTTATTGCCTGTTATCTTGAAAACTGTAATAGAAAGGTAGAAACTTTAAATAGCTCAAATGATCAGCAAGGCAAGATCCACAAATAAGCCATAATGGCAGAAATCCTCAGTCGACTCATTATTGGAGTTATTTCCCTTTAATGATAATTTTTAACATTTTTTTTGCATTTTTTACCTATTATCTTGAAAACTATAATAGATTCAAAGAAACTTTATAAGGAAAACTTATCAGTAGGATAAGATTCACAAATATGCCAACATGACTGAAATTGTCAGTTAACTCTTAATAGAGTTATTCCCCTTCACTGAAAAATGGCCATTGTTGAAGATGCAGGTTAGCAACACAGGCTCTTTAGAGCCTCTAGTTTTAGACTAAATGTAAATATTTGTATATTCTAATGAATATGTCCACGGGTCAAAAGTTTTAGTTTCAGAAAGACCATGCAGTCACTTTTTATTAGTCTCCTAAGTGAAACCATTTACACTGACTGTGAACCATTATGAGCTAATGTCTGTCTGTAAAACAATTTCACATCTAACATGAAACAATTATAATGAAACTGTTTGAAACAAATCTTAGGTGAATGTTTATTGATCAGAGGTCCCAGTTTTTCTAAACATTAAATATAAAAATGCAAGAATATATAACCTTACAAAGTTAAAGTGAGTATCTGACGAGAGATCATAAGATTGAGTAAAGATTTTCTTAAGGCTGTTAATGACTGTCTGATGGGAGTATAAAAATTGAATATTTTTACATATACATAACAGTTTTGTGGTTAGAAGATGAAAGGAAAATGTGAAATTTCAAGGTTATTTACTGGTAGGATCCCGAGGCAAACTCATAGATGTTATTTTTGGTTAATCCAAAAGAAAATTCCCAGTAATTAATATATCTAGTATATTATACATTAACAAAGGGAGGGTGAGGTAACCATCAATTAATAGCTTTGTGAGAAGAAGATAAACAATAGAAGATATCAGTTAAATGTCTACTTCATTGTGATAGCATAATCAAGAAAAGGAAAGAGATGTAGAGTAGCTAAAGACACAAAAATTATACCATAAGACAACTTAGGTCAACACAGTTTAATCGGGGGTCTCATTGGGGGGTTCTGATCCCATATCCCGCTTACTGTTTTGTCAGATTCCTGTATCCCGCTTACACTATGTACGTAAGCAATTCTCATTTTTTTGTAATTTCCCGTGTCCCGCTAGACTTCATTTCCTGTTTTCACGGCACAATAATTTGACTTTAATGTGTCATGCTTACAAAAAATCGGCTATCCCGGGTCACGCTTAGACCCCAATTAATGATACACAGTTTATCTGATTTAACTCATTATTTTTATACCTAGAGCTTCCTGAAATCTGGTTTCAAGTTTCATTATCACTTTTAATGGATAGTAGCTATATTTTTTATAAAAATTATTTTTTTTATTTATAAGACGGGTTTTGTACAAAAAGTTAATTAAGTATAAATTAAATTTAGCACCTGCCTTAGATTGAAATTGAGGAAAGACAAAATTCTGGTCGTCTGTTTCTATGGTCATTATCGTACTTCACTGTTTTCATCATATTTATATAGGATTGCACAGAATAAGGCACCAATTACAAAAATAAGAAGATGTGGTATGATTGGCAATGAGACAACTCTCAACCAGAGACCAAACGACACAGAAATTAACAACTATAGGTCACCTTACGACCAAAGAATGTTATATGGTTGTCTGATATACAGAAAAATGTTATACATATACATTGCCTTTAAAGGAGTAGGTCCGGTAAGGGCCTATTTTGGCCTCAAATTTCAGGTTCATCTGATGAAAGATTTTGTACACTTTTTAAATACTTAAGTGTCTATTTCAGTCGATTCAATTAGTTTGTGTGAAAGATTTGAACTGATTTAGTCATTTCAGACGCTCATATTCAAGCTTAAATATGAAAAATCTTTCAAATATGCCATAATATGTCACTTTTCAGATAGTTTTTGTCAAAAATGAAAGTGGCCGCATCCGTGTTCACCCTCAACCTTTATATATGTTATGTATTATCATCAAATACATCTTACATTTAAATATTAAGAATGAACACGTATGCGGCCACTTCTATTTAAGACGAAAACCGTCTAAAATTTAACTCAAATGCTAAAATTGTGAAGATTTCAGTAATTTAGCATGACTTAATGATGCTAGTACCCGATATATGTGCATTGTATTGTCAAAAACAGCCCATATTTATGTAGCAGAAGTATTCTACTTTCCAATAAATAGCTAAAAGTTTACATTATAACAATTTTGTAAAACTGATATATTTTGGGGCGCAAAAGGGGTCTTACTGAACCTACTCCTTTGGCAAATATATTACATCTTATAAAATTTCACAGTATGCTGCTACTTAAACAAAATCATGACCTCTCAGTTGCTGCAAATAGTGGTATTTATGATCACTAGATCACCTCTCTAGTTTTCAAACAGTAAGTTTAAATTGAAATTTCCTATGTGTTTCAGAATCTGTCTCAAATAGTTAGTTATATCAATGGGGGAAAATGGATTATCGAGGTTATTATATATCTATAATTTCCAACTTCTATTTCAGGATTTGTATCAAATCACCAGTGAAATATGTTTTATTGAAGTATATATCTACAATTTTCTACTTTTTTTTCAGGATCTGTCTCAAATTACCAGTTCTATCCATGGTGAAAACGGTGTTATTGAAGGCTACCTCTTTAAGAAGACAAGTAAAGGATTCAAAAGCTGGGTCAGGTTAGTACACATCAACGTTAAAAGTAACAAATAACAGCAACACTTCAAAGGAGCTGCTCTTTATTTCACTAAAGGTTGTACAATTTATAACCCATAGTTATTTATATAGTTTATTAAGTCATAAGTCATACAACCTTTTGTGAAATTTAGGCCATTAATAACTGTTTGTAAGCCAGGTTGTACAATTTATTGTGATACAAAGTTTAGCCTTGTTTATGATCATACATTTATTCATATAACAGCAAATAAAACATCTCCCTGTAAAAACAATTTACATTTCAAAACAGAATTTTAAAACTGATTGGTGGAAAATATTATCAGAGGAAAAACAGTTTTTAGTGAAATCACAAGTGTTTAATACCTGCATTCAATACTGTGCCAATGTAATTTATCAACTGATCTCTTTCTTTCAAATCACATGTTAGGAGAAATCCAGCTTTATTTATGCAGTAACTTTTCAATTTAAAAGAGGGGTTATGACATTCAAAAGGAGGGATATTCGAAAAGCAGACAATTGTGTCTGAAGCAAAAAACAATTTTATGTACTGTTACTATAATAAAAAGTTGCTAGGGAAGCTTCAATCCAGTTTCTGTAAACCCATTGATTTGTTATAGAAACATTGGGATAATAACCCAAGTAAATCACTTAACCCCTTCGCCCCCAATCCCGCCTGTAGTCGTGATGGCGACCACCATTCTTTGATGGCCCGTATGACCCTCCATACTTTTTTAGAACTGCCCCAGCTGAACTGTCTTGACAGCAGGGACTTCAACCATGTAATTCATGGTCCATAAACTCTTCTCAGATGTGTGTTTATGAAAGTATGGCAACTTTAATGGCCTTTGTAGAGTTCAATATTGGAAAAACATGAAAAGTAGCCAAAATCAGGTGGGGGTGGGAGTCTTTTGATGGCCACTATGTTACTGGTCTTTAAAATCTAGGTCACCATTTTGTCAGAAATCTGTAAAAACGGACATTTAGGCAGACCTGGCTTGCCAATAATAATTCCCAAGCAGGACACTCAAGTCACATTTACTTCCAGTCAGTATGGATGGACTGCTGTAACTATTAGGTAATACTTGAATGACAAAGGTGGGTTTGAGGGGTGGGTTCAAACCCACCAGAAAATGTACCACCTCCCACCCCACCCCCCAGCCATGCCATTTACCCCCAAATCTCAATATATAGTTTAATAGATCAGCATCAGCTATAGCATCAAGAGTCTACTAATTTGCATATGTTTGCAAATTTTCGAAAGTGCCTGATTTTCCAGGAATCTCTTGGGGTCGAATGAGTTAATGTATGTTGATCTTACAAAAAATAAAACAAATTTCTAAATTCTTGCTTTCTTAATTATCTTTCATTGCTGTACTTATTGTCGGGACATAATGGCTAAGTGGTTTAAGTAGTTCAATAGTCTGTAACCACTGAGGCTGTGAGTTTGAACCATGCATGTGGCATGTTGATCTCAATTGTCTAGGATTGCCAATTTTCCTGCCAAAGATTGTTGGTTTTCTCTGGGCACTCTGGCTTTCTATACTGATAAAAACTGGCAGCCATGGTACAGCCAAGGATGCTGAAAGTGGCAGAAAACAATCAACAATCAATCAATCAATCTGTACTTATTGATTAGATACATTTTCTTTATATTTGGTATTAGAATGTTGTGAAAATTTTCTTAACTTACTGACCCAAAATAATGCATGACACGGCATGCTGTTTTATATATGTTTGTAACTGTGATTGTTTTGGGTTAAATGGCTTACGATATTAGACTATATGTTTGGCACTGTAAATGTTTTATATCTAAAATGACTTTCTGTGTTGTATGTAAATGTATTTAAGACCTTGCCATGTTTGACTTTCTGTGTTGTATGTTATGTATTTAAGACCTTGCCATGTTTGACTTTCTGTGTTGTACGTTATGTATAAATCTGCTATTTATATAACCTGTAGGTCCAGTCACACAAAGCAGTTAGTCAGGTATTACTGCATGCTGTTTATTGCTTGGTAGCCTACTGTAGATTCAGCGTAATTATGGGGAAAACAATGTTTCTAAATTCTATGGGTTGAGCCAAATCATGAAATTACAGTGGATATAATTTTATTCGTGTGATACTAATATTCTTTGATTTCATGGGATGATTTCAAATTGTCGAACAAAATACAAATTTCATATAGACTTTTGTGCAGAATTTGCCAAAACCACAAAATCAATAATTATAAAAATACCATGTTTTGTAGTTGAATCTACAGTAATATAAAGTTCATCAAAATGCAGATTGATCTTTTGATTTGGTATGAAATTAAATACAAACAAGCATATCTCGTTGTTGATATTTTATAAAAGTTATACACTATTGAAATATATAGTAATGAATATTTTCATCTTTTTATTCCTTTGTAAGTTGATTATGTAATATTACTTGTATTAGCATGCAAACATTGTCTTTCTTCCTGAACTTTAATATTATGTACAGAAAAAGAAGAAAAGATGTTTTTGTTTAATGTAAAATGCTTTGTTGACTTGATTTAAAGAGAATTTTAAAAATGCTTTGGTAAAGTCACTACACATCAATGAATCAACCATATGGATGCCTATAATTTCTTACATCCACTTCATTTGAACTTTGGTGGAAAGTTGTCTCATCTGCAATCATACCACATCTCCTTATTTTAAGCTCACCTGGCCTAAAAGGCAAAGTGAGCTTTTCTCATCACTTGGCGTCCGTCGTCCGTCGTCGTTAACTTTTACAAAAATCTTCTCCTCTGAAACTACTGGACCAAATTTAACCAAACTTAGCCACAATCATCATTGGGGTATCTAGTTTAAAAATGTATCCGATGACCTGGCCCGCCAACCAAGATGGCCGCCATGGCTAAAAATAGAACATAGGGGTAAAATGTAGATTTTGGCTTATATCTCTGAAATGAAAGCATTTAGAGCAAATCTGACAAGGTAAAATTGTTCATCAGGTCAAGATTTATCTGCCCTGAAATTGTCAGACAAATCAGACAACCCTTTGTTGGGTTGCTGCCCCTGAATTGGTAATTTTAAGGAAATTTTGCAGTTTTTATACGACTGCAAAAATCAAAAATTTTTTGGTCGTATATTGGTATCACGTTGTCGTCGCCTTCGTCAGCGTCGTCCGAAGACAGATGGTTTCCGGATAATAACTTTAGTATAAGTAAATGGAAATCAATAAAATTTTAACACAAGGTTTATAACCACTACAGGAAGGTTGGGATTGATTTTGGGGGTTATGGTCCCAATTGTTTAGGAATTGGGGGCCAAAAAAGGGGCCCAAATAAGCATTTTTGTAGTTTCCAGACAATAACTTGTGTTAAAGTGTATGAATCTCTCTGAAATTATACCACAAGTTTCCATACTACAAAGGGATGGTTATGATTGACTTTGGGGGGTTAAGGCTCAAACCATTTAGGAATTAGGGGCAAAAAAAGGGGAAAACAAGGGTTTTTCTGGTAAAAGGACAATTGAGACAATTTAAAAGCAGTGTAAGGGAGGTAATCCAAATTAAAATCCAAATCAATTTAAATAACAATGTTTGATTACCTCCCTTACACTGCTTGTAAATTATGTATTAAGAAATGATGATTGTCTGAGATACTGACCATAACTTGAGGGAAAGAATTATTTTTTGGAATAAGGGAAATGGGGGAGGTGAAAAAAATTGGAGGGGGACAATTTTTCTCATTTCAGATTTCAGAAATTAAAAGAAAATTTCTTCAAATATTTTTTTTTGGGGGGTTAATATTCAACAGCATAGTGTATTGCACAAACGCAAAAAAACGGGGTAAAATTTTTTTTTTTTTGGGGGGGGGGTCAATTCAAATAGTGTATTGCACAAAATCATATAACCAATTTGAAGTTCTTTGACTACAGTTATTCTGTGTCAGAAACCTATTATGTGTCAAAAATTTAATTACAATCCAAATTCAGACCTGTATCAAGCGTGAATATTGTGTCCATTTTGGCCCCAACTTTTAAGGGTTGGGCATCTGCGGTCGTATCCAGCTGCGCTCAACAAAGCAATTTATTAACATTTTTTTGTAAATTTTTGTATTCTTTTACAAAAATCTTCTCCTCTTAAACTACTGAGCCAAATTTAACCAAACTTGGCCACAATCATCATTAGGGTATATAGTTAAAAATGTGTTCGATGACCGCGACTACCAACCAACATGGCCGACATGGCTAAATATAGAACATAGGGGTATAATGCAATTTTTGTCTATTATTTTTTGAAACGTTATAAATAGAGAAAATCTGAAAGGAGCAAAAATTTTCAGAATAATGAGCTCTACCAATTGTCCATATACGTCAAAACTGTTTGACAAATTCTTTTAGTAGTTATTGTCCATAAATGACAAATTTTACCATTTTTTTTTCATTTTTGCCTATTATCATGAAAACTATGATATTTAGAGAGAAACATTTTTTTCCCGTTATGCCTTATATGATTTGAATTATAATAGATAAATAAACACTTTAAATCACAAAAATGATCAGCAAGGCAAGATCTATTAAAAAGTCAATAATATAGTTAGTAGACTGTCACTCTTCATAGGAGTGATTGCCCTTAAATGAGGATTTTTTTTACCCTCATTTGTGTTTTGAGCAAAAACTAAAGAAGATAGAGAGAAACTAAACAGACTAAAAGATCAGTAATACAAAATCAACAAAATAGAGATTTTTGTCATGGTCTATTCTCGTCTACAATGTTTAGAGTGTCCTTTGTTTGATATGCACATAGACCAAGGTGAGCGGCACAGGCTCTTTAGAGCCTCTAGTTATAATAATGGTAATGTTTGCTTCTAGTCAACTCCAAAGGTTTTTTCTCCTTGAAAATATTTATTACTATAAAAAAAAAATTATTTCAAAAAGTGCTGGTAAATTGTTACAATTATCAAGTATTTTGTACACCTGTTTATATGGATCATAGGTGTTACCTTTCCTTATTTTGTTAAAGGCATTACACCCCCCCCCCCCCCTTTTCCTCTTTCCAGAAGTAAAATTTGTTACTATGTCATTTCTGTAGCCTAGGCAGGAGGTATATATATATTTAAGTTATCCTTTTCTCTGTATTTTGGGTTATTTTACCCATTTTCATTGTTTTTGTTGTTTCAAAATTTGGTAAAGGAAGATCAATATTTGATTTTAAAAAAAAGATCTTTGCTTAACTATATAGTCATCTGACTATATGTAGCCTAAGCTCTGATTCCTTGCCTGGCTTTGGCAATACTTTTTGGTTTTTAAGCTCTTCATGTTTTGAATAAGTTTTGGATTTTCAAATATTTTGGCCTCAAGCATAACTTAAAAGACATTTATTGCCAAAATGTACATCTGGTGCAGGAAAGTTGGTACCTTTAATGTTATGAGAACAGTTAAGTATTTAATTAGATACAAGAAGATGTGGTTTAAGAACTGGAGCATGCATGTACTGTAGAAAGATAAGAAGCAAGGTGAAAAAATTTCTTCCTTAATAAATAATAACCTTCACTTCATTTTTATACGGCCGCAAAAAAATGTTGCGGTCGTATATTGGTATGACGTTGGCGTCGTCGTTGTCCGAAGACACATTGGTTTTCACACTCTAACTTTAGTTTAAGTGAATGGATCTCTATGAAATTTTACCATAAGGTTCAATACCACAAAAGGAAGGTTGGGATTGATTTTGGGGGTTATGGTACCAACAGTTAAGGAATAAGGGGCCAAAAAGGGGCCAAAATAAGCATTTTTGTAACTTCCAGACATAACTTGTAAGTTATGTATGGATCTCTCTGACATTGTACCACAAGGTTCCATATCATAAAGGGAATGCTGGGATTGATTTTGGGGGTAATTGCCTCAAAATTTTAGGAATTAGGGGCCAAAAAAGGGGCAAAAACAAGCATTTTTCTAGTTTCATGACAATAACTTGTGTGTAAGTGTATGGATCTTTCTGAAATTGTACTACAAGGTTCCATACCACAAAGGGAAAGCTGGAATTGAGTTTGGGGGTAATTGCCAACAATGTTTAGGAATTAGGGGCCCAAAAAAAGCATTTTTCTAGTTTCCAGACAATAACTTGTGTTCAAGTGTATGGATCTCTCTGAAATTGTACTGCAAGGTACCATACCACAAAAGGAAGGCTGGGATTGATTTTGGGGGTAATTGCCTAAAAATTTTAGGAATTAGGGGCAAAAAAGGGGCAAAAATAAACATTTTCCTAGTTTCAGGACAATAACTTGTGTGTAAGTGTATGGATCTTTCTGAAATTGTACTACAAGGTTCCATATCACAAAGGGAAAGCTGGGTTTGAGTTTGGGGGTTATTGCCCTAAACGTTAAGGAATTTGGGGACAAAAAGGGGCCTAAAAACAAGCATTTTTCTAGTTTCCAGACAATAACTTGTGTTCAAGTGTATGGATCTCTCTGAAATTGTACTGCAAGGTACCATACCTCAAAGGGAAGGCTGGGATTGAGTTTGGGGGTGATGAATCATAAGGGGGTTCAAAAAATTTGGGGAAGGGATTTTTTTTCCTTTTTTTTTCTTTAAAATTTTCCATTTTAAATTGGTTATTTCTGATTTATATATAAAAGCAAATAATAATGATATGGTTTGAATAGGTAAATTAAAAAATTTTAAGTTCTTAGACCACATTCATTCTGTATCAGAAACCTATGCTGTGTCAAATATTTAATCACAATCCAAATTCAGTGCTGTATCAAGCTTGAATGTTGTGTCCATACTTGCCCCAACTGTTCAGGGTTCGACCTCTGCGGTCGTATCAAGCTGCGCCCAGCAGAGCATTCTATTATAAAATCTGGTACACAGTATATTTTTGATGACACTCAGTGTTGCAAAATCAATTATAAATTTCAAACCTGATATCTTAATTAATGGAAAGGTAAAAATGGTTTTATATAGATCTGCATTTCAATGGAAAAAAATATTGCAGAAATATTTTCCTCACAGACTATATTTCAATGGAAAGGTTTATTTGAGAAATATTTTACTCACAGAATATTGACTGTAAGTTCTGAAGTATAATGTATTGCTATGGATATTATATACCAATATTTATATGGCTACTTTCTGTCTCCTCCCTTGTCCTGTATAAACTCCACAGGAAAGTGATTCAAATAAGGTCATCCTAATTAGAAAAAGATAACATTGTTTAAATTTTAAAGAGGTTTTAAAAATTATTTTCTAGGCATTCTGCCTTTGATTTATTAAGAATTTTAAAGAACCAGAATATATTTGTAAAGAGGAAGAAGCTTATCAATATCCGCTTTGTTTTTCTATTTTTAGACGTTGGTTTGCAATACAGAATAACCAACTTATTTACAAGAAGAGGTCAGGGTCACATAATGCTTTATCAATCATGGAAGAAGATCTACGTCTATGTACAGTTAAACCAGCCTACGACACAGAGAGACGATTCTGTTTTGAAGTGTTATCCCCTACAAGGTAAAGTTTACACCAGACTGACAGGGCTTTAAACTGTCATTAAACAATCAAAAGAGACTGTAATACAGAAAGATAATTCTATTTAATGATTAACAGTTCTGTATTTGATAATTTGACACCATCAATTGGGCAATTGAGGGTTGTAAATGCAGTTTTACCTGTGACACAACGGAAATGGTAAATTATATATTTAAGATTATAAAATACCTAATTAGGGTTGGCAAAATTGATCATCTGGACTTTTTCTAGAAATAAATTCAATTATAATTGTTCATCTTTTTGCATGTAGTTGAAATTTCAGAATTATTATGAAACAATGAATATGTAACAAGCCGTCATATATCTCTGATATCTATTTATAATCTGAAATATAGATAAATAATTTAATGCAAGCCTAATAGTTGGATACATTGAAGTAAACCAGTAGATATACATACAACCATGGTCGCACATTCACATGGTACGTCTTCCAAAGACAGTTTATGCACAAGGGTTTTACGAGTAAAAAAAAAAGGCGAAATATACCAAAGGAACTATTAGATTCTTAAGCGGAAAAGAGAAACCTACAACATAATGGCAAAAAAGGAAAAAAAAAACAAGGAAAAGACAACAACATTCTACAAAACTCTCCTGATAAAACTAAAGAATGGGCAACAAAAACACCACTAAAAGCAAATGTGATCTCAGGTGTTCCATGAGGGTAATGATTGGCATTTTCTTTATCTTTGATTTTAGGAGTCACCTGTTACAAGCAGACTCTGATACAGACTGTCAGATGTGCACAATATTTAACATTTTCCTTTTTTGATTTTAGGAGTCACCTGTTACAAGCAGACTCTGATACAGACTGTCAGATGTGCACAATATTTAACATTTTTCTTTTTCGATTTTAGGAGTCATCTGTTACAAGCGGACTCTGATACAGACTGTCAGATGTGCACAATATTTAACATTTTTCTTTTTCGATTTTAGGAGTCATCTGTTACAAGTGGACTCTGATACAGACTGTCAGATGTGCACAATATTTAACATTTTCCTTTTTTGATTTTAGGAGTCATCTGATACAAGCAGACTCTGATACAGACTGTCAGATGTGGGCAATGATTAACATTTTCCTTTTTCGATTTTAGGAGTCATCTGTTACAAGCAGACTCTGATACAGACTGTCAGATGTGGATCACTGAAATAACGTCAGGAATCTCCAAAGCGTTTAAAGATGCTGAAAATCAAGAACTGAAACAGGTCAGTTGGTCAAATCACAAACACATGATTTTACACACACTAACACATCATGATCTTACACACACCAACACATTATGATTTTACACAAACTAACACATGATTTTACACACACTTTATAGCTAATATATTATGATTTTACACACACTAACACATTATGATTTTACACAGACAACACATCATGATTTTACACACACTAACACATTATGATTTTACATAAACTAACACATTATGATTTTACACAGACAACACATCATGATCTTACACACACCAACACATTATGATTTTACACAGACAACACATCATGATCTTACACACACCAACACATTATGATTTTACACAGACAACACATCATGATCTTACACACACCAACACATTATGATTTTACACAAACTAACACATGATTTTATACACACTTTATAGCTAATACATTATGATTTTACACACATCAACACATTATGATTTTACACAGACAACACATCATGATTTTACACACACTAACACATTATGATTTTACACAAACTAACACATTATGATTTTGCACACACTAACACATCATGATCTTACACACACTTACACATTATGATCTTACACACACTAGCACATTACTATTTTACACATATTGACATATTGACATATTACGATTTTACACTCACTAACACATTAAAATTTAACACACACTAACACAGTATGATTTGACAATTAAAATAATAGGGTACACCATAGAATCTTTAGTTTTCTTTATTGTTCAGATAAAACACAACATTTTGTTAATTGTAGGAAGAAGACAATTCTAGTCCTCAAGAGAACACGACAGTCGAAAATGAAGTACCCACGACTCCTAAACTTAGTAAAGCACAGATGTATGTATATAGTTAAACTATTGTCACTACCTCTCTGATCTCATGGTAGGATTCTCAAGACTGGTCTGGGAGGTTGTGGGCTCAATCCCAAGCTGCTTCTCCACTAAGCATGTAGCTTGTAAGAATATGAGCAAAGACAGGTTGGCTTTGAGTCAGAATAATTTGTCCAGTTAGTTTGACATGTCTTTCTGCAAACTGCTTCTTTGGTAAAGTACTAAGCATGGTTCATATCCATAGTACATTTCAATCTGATTGAAATATATCCTGTCCTTCACTAACAAGAATCAGACAATGCTCTGTCCTACTTTCTGTTTTAAACATTTCGGGATCCTTTGGATTTGTCGTAATGATAAACACCTTCAAAAATTTGTTGGCAGGAATTTCATTGACTGATGTTTTTATGACAAGAATAGAAAGCAGAGTTTTGATAGATCCTTGTTAGCAAAGCATTAATGCATGATCAGTATTTCAAATCAGATTGAGTACATTATTTCATCCTGATATATAGATATGGTATGGTTGCAAATAAGACAACTATCCACAAGAGACCAAATGAAGTTTGTTATATTTGCCACTGGACATTACACAACAATCTTTTCTTCCTCAAGTGAGTCAAGAGTCAAGCAATGTTGTATGTATATTGTCAATTTATTGTAAACACAACTCTTAAACATAGTAAACCACATTTGCATGTAAAATTACATGTTGTCAAACTAGTGTAGACAATACTGCTAAACTTCAAGCACATTTGTGTGTATATAGTCAAATTATTTAGATAAATAAAAAAAAAGAGAAGTACCGTAGAAACTCGCCTATTAGTCGATCCGACTATAAGTCGGGTGACCTTTTCAGCTCCAAATTCTAAGGATTTAGTCTTGACCCTTGTATAAGTCGAACAAAATTTGGGCATTTTTTTTTCAGCTAACAGTAACTGAACGCCGGTAAAACAAATGCAAATCCAGGAATAATATTCATTTCTGCATTAATGTTTGTTTGGTTTGAATTTAGTTGATGCTCATCATGATAATTTATATTGCTGTTAATAATAAAGATGTATTCATTCCTCTTGTTTTGTTTACTGTTCAAATGTTTGATTAGCCATGTGTTGTTTACGTAATGCATCAATGATTTTGTAGGGTATGACTAACAACCTATTGTTTGAGAAAAGCGAATATAAACCAATATGAACCTGAAAAATTTAAAGTCAATCAACACTTGATGAAAATATTTTTCACAGCATACATAACTCGGTGTTAAATGAGCATGTACACTTCATAATTCTTATTATATTGTGATGATTAAAGGATTAAAAAAATTAAGTGAAGCTAATCAATGTATTAAAATAACTAACTCCAACTCATTAGTGTCTTCTGTTTACCTATCACTGATAGTTTCCACACCTTTAGTAAATACAACTCTTTGTCTCTTAATTGGGGTTATCAATGGATTATATTGGCTTGTCAATCAATTTTGTAATTTTTGTTTACCTAAGACACTTTAATGAATAATATTTTGATTTTGGGAATGAATCTTAAAATTATTTTTTTATTATTATATGATTTATAAGCATTGAATTGATATCATGATATCACAATAATGACAAAATAACTCCGCTGAAAACATCCTTTCACATATTTGGTACATTGTTATCTCCTTTTCATTTTTGGTTCTTGGCTCTTCTTTTGGGTTTATAGGAAAACCATGTGACCATGAAAATCAATACACAAACCGGAAACAGTAGCATTTCAACACGAATTTGCAGAAAATGTATACCAAAGAACAAAAAAAACACAAAGACAGTATTGTAGTCATTTATTTTCAACAAAAACTTTTTATTTATTGATTTATGTAGGTTTGGCAATCAAAAACGTAGTTTTGACCAGGAAATTCACTCCTGACCACTTTTCTCAAGCTTGGATTTTTCCTCTGGTCGCTAGATCTCGTCTATTAGTCGGTCCCCCTCTCTGGATTATGAATTTTACTCCCAATTTTCCGACTAATAAGCGAGTAGGAACGGTAAATGAAATTAAAAACCATTTATTAAAGTGGACTATGTATATTTACTACACATATAAATTTCTTATAATTTCAGACGATTACAACAGTTATTCTCCATCCCTGGTAATGACCATTGTAGTGATTGTGGATCCCAAGATCCAAGATGGGCTAGTCTTAACCTTGGTATAACATTATGTATTGAATGTTCAGGAATTCACAGGTAGTATATTGTTTTAGTTGTCACAATCACAATTTTTGTTTTTCACCGAGATCTTGTTTTATTAGATTTTTGGTCTTATTAGACCAGGAGGATTGAAACAAAATGTTGTCATACCATTTAGTTAATTTGTACTCTCACATTTGACTTAATTAGTCATGAAGGAATAATTTTTCAACAAAGATTAACAAAATTTCTGTTTCATTACAGTTGTTCTGTATAGACATTTGTTTTATTATACTCCATTCAATGAGTAGGGAGCTATATTTCATTCACTCATCTCTCTGTCCTTTCGTTTGTCTTTTTGTCTGACAATTGTTTCTGTCACACTTTGTATCAGATACATTAGGCTTGACATTGATGAGTTGTAAAATGTTAGCTCTTTTCAGTTCTGTCAGAAACCTACTTCCTTTATGCTGATACTTTGAATTTTTCAACAGGTTGAATGAAGTTCAATGAACTTTTAAATTGTCACACTTTTTACAATTAATACTGAACATAATGGCTTCATATTTAGTCCACAGTTTATCAGTAATGAGTTGTAATGTGCCTGTGCTGTAACACCACTGTCACAGGTTAAGGGTAAGATTGAGTTAAACATGTTTAACCCTGCTACATTCTTTATGTGCCTGTCAAGTGATTTTTTTATCGCTACCTACTGTTTTCCAATACATTGAAAAAACAGATGGGTGTTTGCTTAGAAGAACAACATGAATATTCCTGTTTTTATATTCCAGTGTATCAATTATACATCTCCAAATTAACATAGTCATTGATAATTACAGAAGTTTTGGTGTTCACCTGTCCAAAGTAAGGTCCATAACTCTGGATGCCTGGGAACCAGAACAGTTAAAGGTTATGGCTGAGTTAGGAAACGACATTATTAATAGAATTTTTGAAAAGAATGTTGATGAAACCATAGCAACTAGGGCAACTGCAGAATGCAAAAGGTTTGTTTAGAAATCAAAGGTTTTTTTTTTGTAATTTTATTGTAATGAAATAGGATTATAGCAGAGTGTTTTTTATAAAAAAAGTTAATTTCAAGGTAACAGCAGCAATTGATAGAATGAAATATGGGCAAAATTATGTTCTCCAGATGTTATCATTTAAACCATATATTTTACTTTTACCAAACTTTGTTTGAGAATTCCCCATGGGATGAGTGGGATGAGGAAAACCCATACTTAATGTAGCATTTACTAATCCTAGGGTCGAGGCCACAGCAGCAATTGATGGCAAATTGTGTTTATTGATGATATCTTTTAAATCATATGTCCATCATTCACAAAACTTAGCTTGAGAATATCTCTTGAAAAGAAGTAGTCCACTGTAGAATTTTGAGATCAAAGGTCAAGGTCAGAATACCACACAAATTGTCAGCAGACTATAATGTATTCTTCACCAAACAAAACCAAAATAGTAACCAAATTAAAATCTGTTTCGTCTACTGTAAATCTATAAAAATTACAACTCTGCATCTGGAATATTTTATTAGCTTTATGGCTATTCCACATAGAAATTTGTATTTGCAGATCTATAAGGGAATCTTGGATAAAGGCAAAGTATGTTCAGAAAGCATTTGTAATGAAGTTACCTGGTCCTAAAACTACAGCAGGGAAGAAAATAAGAGGATGGAGTGTGAAGAAAAAGTTACGACGTTCTCCAGATAAAGTAACTGGGGACCAGTCCGATAATGAATTAGATGTTACCAGTGGATTAATGGAAGGTGATTATTGGTTATGATTTGGTCTTGACAATTTAGGCATTTTATTAAAGTTTTTGTTCGCTGAATACTTTTTTTCTCTTTAGCGATTTAGAATTGTCACATTCTCATTAACATGAAATACTTAATATTATGCTTAAAAAATGTTGTTTTTTTGTATGTGTGTGTGGGAAAGAGAAAAGTACCAACTAGGATTGATCAGTCTCCTAATAGCAAACCAATCTTTTTTCTAAGTGTTTCCTTGTCAAATAGAGTTATTCTTTTTAAATTTCAAATTAGATTTTCCAACTTTTAAACTTTCAATTTAACCTCTATACTTATTCTTGAATACTTACTTGTAATTTTACAAGGGTGTTTACTTTTAGGGAAATTCTTTCACATCTCTTTGTGTTGTGTTTAACCAACCATATATAGAATTCTAGCATAAATAAATGTTGAGAAAGAAGAATTTTTTACATCCATTAAATGTGAATTACTTACAAAATATTAATTTGACAATTAAAAATGTACTCATTCGGTCTTCTACTTTTGCATGCTTCAAAGTGCTTATTCAAATATAAGGCAGGAAAAAACCATTTTATGTAGACTATGTGGGCATGGACGTTTTTTGTTTGAATTGTTTTTGTTTCACATATAGGCTGTTCTAGCAACATATTAGTCCTATTTTGTACATCATTTATTTATTAATAGCTTTTTGCTGATTTTGAAATCCAATAAGCAGAATTATTTAAATAGCCAACGCTTAGCATTTGTTTAGTTGCAGAGGTGCATTGCTAAGTTGTGTATTGCATCATTGTTAATTTTAGTATACCCCCTGAGCATGGATTTTTTATCAGGGTTAAGGAGTTGGGTATAGTTGGCATAACATTCCATGAAAATTACTGTTTCTTATGTCAGCTGTAAAATAATTCATGTGTTGTATCACACCTTTTAGCGTAACAGAACATTTTGATTCCTGCATCAACCTGATTAAGCATGTAATTTTACTACCAGGTGTTAAATAACAGTCCATCTTTCAACCAATATAATCCTGCAGAATGTATAAAGCCCATTTTTCAAGGAAGGCAATGTATATTCATTTGTTTGTTCATTAATTTGCATTTTGCATTACCTACAACACGCCTTCAAACAGTGATCTAAACTGTTAATAGTTGGTTCACAGAACATCCTCTACTATTATTTAGAAGTTTATTCTTTTTTCTTATAGGGAGAAAAAAAGCCATGAATGAAATATGATAACATTATCAAATTCCATCTCATTGTAAAAAAAAAAAAAGAAGATATTTAAGCAGCTTTAATTTTAGTAGATTTTTCCCTCCCATTATGAAATTCTAGAATTCTCAACATTGCTTTAGCCAACCTGTACTAAGTTTACACCAATTAACTGAAATGTATGTAAAATAGTTGATGAATTTAAGTCTGATTGTAATTTTTTTATGTGAATATGAATAATTCCTTACTTTTAGAAATTTTGATTTTCTTTTATTCAGAAGTAATTTCTATCCATTATTATAGCCCTTATTACCACCATATCAGGAATATCTTGTGCTTATCTTGAAACTTGTTACTAGAATCATAAATCTAGTACTTTATGTAAAAAGCAGTTATTTCCCCTTGCTTGAAAGAGTTCATCAATTAGAATAACAAATGACTCTGATAATCTTCAAGTCAGTATTCGTGAGGGAACTTGTTTCAAGTTATAACAGTAGAACAAAATTTATGATTTTCTAAGTTTTAAAGAAGTTCTGCAGAATGGTTTTGTAAACTCAGTACAGGTTTTTGCCTCAGGTATTAATGTTGTTCACAATTTAATTATAATTTCTATTACTTGGATATATATATAGCACACTTATAGATAATAAACATTAGCTAAACTTAACCTTACAGGAAAAAATAATAAAGGTAAGTCACATGATTCCCTTCAGCCAACCATAGGCATTAGTACATCTTCTAATCAGATGCTTTTTTAGATCTTGCTTTGAGTGTGATATGGGTATCAGACTACTATAGTTTATTTTCTCTCTAATATAAATAATTGCTTACTAATATAACATGTTGTACTGGATTATAACTCATTCTGACATAAATGATGTTCTGCGAACATGCAGTCTTAACTGTGGTAAAATATTCAATAAACCACACTGTTGCCATATTATGTTAGTGATCTGCAGGCTGCGTCATTGCTATTCTGTTCTATTTTCGTATATATTTAAATGGAAAGAACAGATAGACTAAGTTATATCTAACACCAAATTATTCATTATGGGGCTCCAAAGTTTTTAAGACTGAAATTAAAAAGTCTATTAAAATTAATCACAATGGGTGCTACAGTTGCCTCCCTTGATGACATAATTCACTTCATTTCACTGTATTTGTCATGTGTACATTATCTTTCAGATGATTAAAAATAAGCCATATTTTAATACCTGGATACTACCATGAACTGCTCTGGAATAAATAAAATATCCCAGTGATTTTATTGCTGTTCTTTATTTTGACATTTTTAATCAGCCTTGTCTTCTTGAAATGGGGATATTAACCTGAGGCCTTTAGTTTGGAGAGGACATGGTGTGCAAGAATGCCCTTAAATGGTGAATTTGGACAAATTTTCTAGTTGTCTATTTCCTTTAAAAGTATAAAAGATTGTTAGAAACTCTAAAAACTAGAAATTATCAGCAATTCAAGAATTACAAAAAATGCTGATATGAATGAAACAGTTGGAAGACTCGTAATAGAAATATTGCCCTTAAATGACCTTTTAGACTAATTTTCTAGGTTTTTGCATATAAAAAAAATATAGGTAGAAAGTGTAAACATCAAAAGAGAGGCGAAAGATACCAAAGGGATATTCAAACTCATACTTGAAAAAACAAAATGACAATGCCAAGGCAAGAAACAAAAAAGACGGAAAGACAATCTAGTAGAATAGCAAAAATACCGAACTCCAAGGAAAATTCAAAACAGAAAGTCCCTTATCAAATGGCAAAATCAAAAGCTCAAACACATCAAATGAATGGAAAACAACTGTCATATTCCTGACTTGGTACAGGCATTTCCATATGTAGAAAATGGCAGATTAAACTAAGTTTTATAGCTAGCTAAACCTCTCAATTGTATGACAAAACACAACTGCGAAAACTAAAGACTGAGCCATGTGAACCCCACCAAAAACCAGGGGTGATCTCAGGTGCTCCAAAAATGATAAGTACTACAAGATTCAAGATATATTATCACATGTTAGGGATTTAGGATCTTAGTACACTCTTGTCATGCTGGACATTAAGAAAACAATCAGATTACAAGTTACCTGGCAGCTCAATCCCCCTAAGATGAATGCTGCCTGTAGCATCCTCAATCCCCCCAAGATCAATGCTGCCTGTAGCATTCTCCATCCCTCTAAGATAAATGCTGAGTGTAGCATCCTCAATCCCCCCAAAGATGAATGCTGCCTGTAGCATCCTCCATCCCCCTAAGATGAATGCTGCCTGTAGCATCCTCAATCCCCTAAGATGAATGCTGCCTGTAGCATCCTTAATCCCCCTAAGATGAATGCTGCATGTAGCATCCTCAATCCCCCTAAGATGAATGCTGCCTGTAGCATCCTCAATCCCCCTAAGATGAATGCTGCCTGTAGCATCCTCCATCCCTCTAAGACCTTAAGATGAATGCTGCCTGTAGAATCCTCAATCCCCCTAAGATGAATGCTGCCTGTAGCATCCTCAATCCCCGTCAGATGAATGCTGCCTGTAGCATCCTCAATCCCCCTAAGATGAATGCTGCCTGTAGCATCCTCAATCCCTCTAAGATAAATGCTGCCTATAGCATCCTCAATCCCCCTAAATTGAATGCTGCCTGTAGCATCCTCAATTCCCCTTAAGATGAATGCTGCCTGTAGCATCCTCAATGCCTCTAAGATGAATGCTGCCTGTAGCATCCTCAATCCCCCTTAAGATGAATGCTGCCTGTAGCATCCTCAATCCCTCTAAGATGAATGCTGCCTGTAGCATCCTCAATTCCCCTTAAGATGAATGCTGCCTGAAGCATCCTCAATCCCTCTAAGATGAATGCTGCCTGTAGCATCCTCAATCCCCCTTAAGATGAATGCTGCCTGTAGCATCCTCAATCCCCCTAAGATAAATGCTGCCTGTAGCATCCTCAATCCCCCTAAGATGAATGCTGCCTGTAGCATCCATTTTAGTGGTAATCTTTAATAGCAACATTTTGGGTGTAAAAATTTCTAATAGAATATTTCATCACTCATGCTAAGTTTAATTAAAGAAACCTCCAATTTGGATCTGGATCAACCACAATTATAAAAAAAAACCCAATTAAACCCATAGAATTTATTAGATCAAAGTTTTTCTGAATCATCTTTAGTATGGTAAAAAGTTTAATCAAAATAAACTAAAAGTGATAATTGCCCCCATTACTTAAATAAGGTAAAGATATAAAACACAAGTCTTGATGTTGCTTTTGTAGTTTCAAAGCTTTCTCTGGCGATAGAATTAACAACTTTACCATGTGATGAAATTAAACAAAGCTAGTGCTATTAGATATAGATATTAAGGAAGGCAGGAATAAGTTGATATATAAATAAATCAATAAAAGAGTATAATGGTTGAAACAATTTCTTTTCCGTATGTTTAATTTACTTTGATAATTAGCAATTTGTAGTGCATCACATCAACCTAATATGAAGTTAAACTTACATGAACTACCTGTGAAAGAGAGACTACTGTAAATTCAGAAATTATTGCGAGGTTTTTATTAATGCGAATAATACGACTAGGTTAGTATCGCAATAATAAGAACTCGCATTCTGATATCTTATACATATATCTGTATGCAGATTTTCCTGACATCGCAATAATTAATCTCGCATTTTTGTCCATTCTTCAAAAATCGCAATAATAAATGCACGCAATAATTTCTAAATTTACAGTATCAAAGTGAAAGACCTTTATTACAGTACCATGTTTTGAACATTATTTTACCCAAATCATACTCAGCAAGAACTAAAAAAGATTTCTATTCTACTAACATTCACTTCATATATATCATTTTATTCACTATTTTATTCATCTTCATGCATTAACCATAGAAATGAATCTTAAACACAACGAAAATTTTATGATCTTTTTTACAGTTTAGTAATATTAAAATTGTGACAAGAGTTGAAGTCAATAACTGAAAATATGCATTTGAACTAATATTCTTTCAGATATAATACTGTTATATATTTAGATTCTACCACTGCATTGAGTGTGATACAATATTTCTCCACTCTAGACAGTTAAATTTTCAAATTAAAAAGATGAGGCTTGCTGTGTGTTTTAAATATTTAAACTTCACTGTTGGGAGTGGAGAAATATCTTATTGCAAAAGATTTGGTGGTAGAATCTGTTTCTCTAATGATGTTTAGACGATACGCAGACAAACGTAATCCTTCTTTTCCAATGATCACCAATAAGATGTGTCCTTTCTATGTAACCTCATCAGGCATGGTCGCCTTTTTTTGTGACATTACAATAGGACGTTCAGAGGAACGCAAGAAAATTTTATATCATAATTGATTTTTGACCAATGAAGAACTGAGATCAAATGAACCACACATTGTCATGTGTATTATAGTTATAGTGTAGGTTTGATATACAAGAATGTGTAATATATGGTGGGATTTCACATGTTACTTTCTCATGTGTGTAATTATACTTGATATAATTTTGATGTGCAGGAACATTTAACATTTAATTGGTTTACACATGTTTATTTGTCATGTGTATAATAATTTTAGTGTAGGTTTGATGTACAATGTGTAATATATGGTGGGATTACACATGTTACTTTCTCATATGTGTAATTATACTTAGTATAGGGTTGATGTGCAGTAACGGTTAACATTAAATGGGTTTACATATGTTTGTCTGTCATTTGTATATTAATGATTAAAATTTTATGTGCTGTAATAGGATACATTCAATGGTATTACTCATATGTTTTGATTTGTAATGTGTAAAATGATATTAGTGAAGATTTTATGTGCTTGAAGAAACTGCCTTGGTGGTCTCACGGTAGTGTGGTTGCCTAGAATGCAGGTATCATGGGTTAGATCCACAGTTTAGTCAAACCATGACAATTGGTATTTGTTGCTTCTCAGCTGATGCTGAGCATAATAATTGATTAATTGTTGGTTGTTTAATGTCTATATATAGTGCTAAGCATAATAATGCATTAAGGAGTAAGAGCAAAGACTTGTTGGCTTAGAGTCAGAATAATGTGTCCAGTTAAGGTAACATGTCTTACTGAGAACTGTTTCCTTGTGACCTAGCTTGTCAAAAATGTTGCTCTGCATTCATGATAAGAACAAAGCAGGATTTATATGTTCTCATCCTAAATATACATTTTATTTTCCATTGGACATTGAACAGCCATCCATCAGCATAATTACCGAGTGCTGAAATATGTAACTTTCAATTGTGTTATAACACAAGTTGGTAACTTTTTTCAGCAACATGAATTTTGAGCTGTTATAAAGAGATTTATATACACATTACAATACATCTTTTCTTAAGGAAATAAAAATCCCTGGAAGTGATACTGTATTTTTTTTAACTATATTTAAACTTACTATTATTTGAAGGCATGAATATGCATGAAATTATTTTAACATTTTTTTTTTTATAATAGTACGTCTTCTTAAGACCTGGACAATTGTTTTGTCCTGTAGTTGTTTCTGAAAACAAATGTACATTTAAAAACTATTTTGTTTGAAATTGTAAAGGCTGTAAGTTGGTTAATTGATTAATGGGGAGTCTTTCTTTTAGAATTTCAAAAGGCCAGTTCACCCCGTTAGTAAAATAGTAAGAAAATATCATTTTATAACAACTTTATTGAACAATTAAACTTTGTTTTAATTTTGGCATGCATACCTAAACTCAAGATTTCTCCTGTACATTGTAGCAAGCAATGAAATAAATAAACATTTCAGATATATGGTTTAGTTCATCATTATAGGTTAATACATGCCTTTTTCTATATCTGCCCTGCTATAATCCCGATATCCTGATATCTGATTGAGGACTTTAGCAAGGGAAAGGCCAAATACTAATGACAAGAATTATTCATTGTTGGTTATCAATTAGCATGGTACAAATAAACCACAATCCTCTTGAATATTTATGAAATATTTGCCACTGGTGTTCAGCTAACTATCAATCAATCAAGAAAATGATGAAATTCACTAAACAGAATCCAGTATTATTCTTTAGAAAGCATATTTTGACGCAATGAATATTTTACTTTCAGCAGTGATGTCTGTTTCAACCAACAACGTATTAAATGATAGCGACAGTGGTATAGGAGCTAGTGCTTCAGATGTTATAGTCTTTGGTACAGATTTAGAACTACCTGATCTTGGTAGATGTAAGTTTATTACACTCCCCCCTCAATAGTCTTTTGTATAGGTTTAGAACTACCAGATCTTGGTAGATGTAAGTTTTTTACACTCCCCCCTCAATAGTCTTTTGTATAGGTTTAGAACTACCAGATCTTGGTAGATGTAAGTTTATTACACTCCCCCCTCAATAGTCTTTTGTATAGGTTTAGAACTACCAGATCTTGGTAGATGTAAGTTTTTTACACTCCCCCCTCAATAATCCTTTGTATAGGTTTAGAACTACCAGATCTTGGTAGATGTAAGTTTTTTACGCTCCCCCCTCAATAGTCCTTTGTATAGGTTTAGAACTACCAGATCTTGGTAGATGTAAGTTTATTACACTCCCCCCTCAATTGTCTTTTGGATAGGTTTAGAACTACCTGATCTTGGTAGATGTAAGTTTATTACACTCCCCCCTCAATCGTCTTTTGGATACGTTTAGAACTACCTGATCTTGGTAGATGTAAGTTTATAACACTCCCCCCTCAATAGTATTTTGTATAGGTTTAGAACTACCAGATCTTGGTTGATGTAAGTTTAATACACTCCCCCCTCTATAGTGTTTTGTATAGGTTTATAACTACCAGATCTTGGTCGATGCAAGTTTATTATTAACTGGGTTTTCTGAAGTCAATTTGATTATTGGTTTTTGGGTTGTATTGCATTCACCCAATGCTTTTCAAATTTTAATATACTGTTAAAGGGAAAATTCGCGATTTTTTACTTATCATCTTATTATGTTCATATTACCATAAAAAACATATTCACCAAGTTTTATCTGGATATGAACATTAATAAAGAAGAAAATTGGAAATTATTGATTTTATTTATTCGAACTTCCTGACTTCTGTGACGTAGTTTAAGTCTTTTTGCATGCCGGGAGTGGATAAATCTCATTTTAAGTCTTGTTCGTTAATCATCTAATAACGCGATTTAAAGCGCATCGACGACTTTTGGCGTAGCTATTAACCAACTAATAATTCAGAAAGAAAAGTGATCAGCCGTGCAACTTTAAAATTAAAATGTACGATTTATATTTTAAGGATTTATGATATATTTATAGTAATAAAAATAAATCATACAATAGAATGTTTTGATGTTTTTTCCCCGACGGATATGTTGAACAAACATATATAACGGATAGTGTAATAAAATACAAGTTTGTATTCTCACCTAATATTTCAGTCGATGATTTGTCTTACTATACAAATCCTTGCTTCGGTCTAGTATTGCGTAAATACAATGCATACATGTGTATTATACTGACACTACCTGGTAAAGGCGTGGTTAAATTCACGATAATTAAAAGATTAGCATTATGTAATTTCAATCTTTTGATCTTCACTAGAGTGTTGTTTGGCCTCAAGGGTTCACCGTTGCAGGTATGAAAAAAAAAGGATAAAACCGAAGTGCGGGTTTGAGACAGATTTTTTTAAATAATTATTTGGGGAGGAATATGGTGGCAAAATACCTGAATCGCTGTTAAAAAAATTTTTTATTTTAATATTTTGCGTTAGCTCAGTTTTTAAATAAATAGATTAGTATTTTGTTGTAACATCAAAATTCTGAATTACTTTCAATTAAATAATTTTATAAATAAAAATGGCCCACGAAACCATCGTATAAATCAAAACTGTACTATTTTGAATTATCATCGGTATAAACCTTGAATATTTAAATGTGCAGAGAAAATTATCAGTTACATTAATATAGTTTTGTTTGTCCAAAGTATCTACAATTACCTAATCGGGAATGCCTTTATTAAAATATTCTAAATCTCACAACGTATAAATACTTTAGCTATTTGACCAACGATGTTTAAAAAAAAATAACAGAATCAATCTAACGTCAACTTTCCTTTTTTAAATGGAGACAGACCGGCGGAATCAATTTTCAATGTGCCTTTCCCTCATTTATAAACCCACTATAAACCAGAGACATATCTACATATATATACGTCTGTTTAAACTGACAAGAATACGCCTAATGCGGACAAGCAACATATTCTTTAAATTTCTGTGATTTAATACCAAGAAACAAGGACGTATAACTAACAACTCTAATATACGTCCTTGCAAGAAAGTAGAAAATCCCGAAATTAATTTGATACTCAATATTTTTCCTGGAAAATATTCACATCCTCATTCGGTCTGAAAATGAAATAAGAATTTGGTATACAGAACATGCAGAAGTGTGGATGTCATAAAACCTTGTTATATCAGAAACCTTTATAAATGTGAACCTGTATACGTAAGACCTCATGGGACGTCACCTAACCACATACAGGTAATATACAAGTAGCTCTTTTAAACCCAGAAATGTCAAGGTTAATCACTACCGATAAAGAATGTACCGATGAAAAGAAAATTCTGATGATTGTAAAGCATGACCATTTATGATTTTAGAGGCGTCTTAGGTGGGGGATCGCCGGAACGATTTAAATTCTGACTAGATTTTTTTTCTCTGAATTTAAATCACTGAACTAAAAAAAAGGAGAAAACTACGTCCAAGAACAGAATTCTTCTTGTAAATTTGTAAATTCATAAATACAACGTTCTTATTTTATAACTTTCGATAGACTTGACCTCCAAACCCCCCACCCCCTTCTCCCAACCTGGGAACAGTATATCTTACAATGTATATATTCATGCAAAAATCAAAAAAAAAGGAGAAAAAAGAAATAGATGAACGGTAAGTCACATCAGATTCAGATATTTATATAGTTGATTGTCGTTAATTCGAGATATATATATGTCTCTGCGTTAACTTATAAAAATAACAGGAAAGTATAAACTTGAAATAGATTTATGATGAATACTATGCAAGGCAACTGTGACACCCCTTTTCATCACAGCGTACATGCATGTATTAAAATGACTGTCCGTTATTTCGATTAAGAATGACAATCCCACGTAAAATCCTATAGTTCATGGTGAGAATTTTTCTACCAGATATGCGACTTTTCGTATTTATATTTTCTCTTATATTACTCTCATTTAATATTTTATGCATAAGTGCAATATTAGGAATGGTTTATTCCCCCCACAAGCTAACTAAATAAATTAATCAACCATCTAGCTGACCAGACGTTAATACAACTACTATCAGTCTATCTGGAGAGAAGTTTCTTTATTTCTTCAAATAGGCTTTTTGGGGATCATTAGTGTACGTCCAGTGGCATACATATAATTACATGCATGTCGGAACAGGAAAATTGACATAAAGGTACTATTAGAACCATGTTCACATTATTATACATTATACCCAACAATTTTGATGGTGACGAATTTCTAAAAATGTTTGAAATAATCTAATTGAAATATAAATCTATGATTTTACTATGTCCATAACTTCGATGAACCAAAGCAAGTTAGATATCGCGACCTGTATTTAAATCAGATTGGTTCTGGATGTTTCTCTCGTATATTCAATATTCATGCATATATTCTAAATTGCGACTATCTATAGTACCGTAACTTTCTATCTAGGCGTATAAACCAATGATCGACAAGTGCGTTCATTTTGTTAAATCAATATTTGTATGTTTCAAAATGTCCATAATTATTGACAACGAGTATATACTTACATTTTCCCCATTTAAAATTTCCCGTGGAAAATATGTAAATAGATTTTTATTTTATCAAATCTTTTTTTGTAATTATTTAGATTTTCATAAATATCATTCTTTACACCAGAAATGTTATATATAAACAAGCGTATGATTTTAGTAATGACTAGTATATAACTATCGGACACGCAGGACAAATTTTAAGATGTATATTACACCTGATAGTTTCAAAATTGAAAGTTACAAATTATCGGCCGTGTACACTGATCAATTCCCTCAGAAGTGAAGTGATGCACGAACTTGCTTTATGTAATTGTGTAATTAATAAGAGTTTTAAAGCCCGACAGGAAATCGCTTGAATACCTGGAAGTGTCACCTCACAATACCTCTGGGAACAATTCCTTTAGCCATGCTGGTGATCAGATAAGGGAAGGGCCGAATTTATTTAAATAAATTTATTATATAAATGAATTATGAACAAACTAGATTTTCGAAAACAATTTTACACGGAACACTTATTTATGACTTTGAACTTTGACTTTTTAACTAATTTCCATTAAAATTTCTTGTTTCAAAAACTTAGTAAAAAAAAAGTTTCAAAACGGCAGACCATTGTACTAGTTATTTAAATAAAAAATATATATAATTACATTTTCTGTATCAAGTTAGTTAGGAAAGGTTGCACAACCATGTCTATTAGGTTTACGGACAGAAAGTCACAGGACATAAAGTCACAAATTTGATAGGACAAAAAGTCACAAATAATTTGTTGACAATTGTTTGAATATATAAGAGAAAGATCTTGAAATATTTTCTTTTTATTACATATATTCATTTTTATGTTTAGGAAATTGTTCATAAGCCTTGATAAATGAAAAATTATCAAATTTTAATCATGCAAAGGATATATTTCTTGGCACAATGAAGCCATTTAAGTACCAAGCCACTTTGACATTTTGTTTCATAACAATTATTTGATCATTATTGATATTTATTGAATAGATTTTAATTACAAAGTTGCTTCATATATAATAGTTCAAGAAAAAACAAAAATTTTATTTTTTAAATTAGTGTTTTCTTGTTTAAAGAAAAAAAATCTCAAAACTGAATTGTGACTTTTTGTCCTGTGACTTTTTGTCCGTGACTTTTTGTCTGTGACTTTTTGTCCTGTGACTTTCTGTCCTACATTCGTCTATTATAATCTCTTTTGTGCCCTGGGAAACTGTTTATACTTTCCTTGTCGGATAAAACAACCGTACGCTTGACAAGATTTCGACACTCAATTACGGCTACGTTAGGTTACTGCTTGTTTTGGTCCTTTGTGGTTTATAGATATATCGTGGTTTCTAAACCGGGAGGATGTCAAAATGGCCGCATGCGGGGAATTGATACTCTAAATTTAAAATCGATGGTGATCTCTTATTTCGCAGAATAAAACTTTAATATTTATGAATTTGTGCTTTTTCATACATAATGAACATAATATAAATTTTTCATTTTTTTGCGTAGTTTCCCTTTAATGATGACAAAACAGAGGATAAATTCAATATTGACGATATTCACTTTTGCCATTCAGGAGTTATGGTCCTTGATTGGTTGGAAAATAGCACTTTATGTTGTTATGTCCTGCAATAATTTGAAAACTATTATGCCAATGCTTTTCAACTTTTTATTGTTAAATAAGATATCATGTTATGGACACAATTTCTCTTGATATTTTTCATTAAAATAACTCAAAGCAAATACTTCATGAAAAAGTAAAACAAATATTTTCTATGCTTTAATTATTTATTTGAATGGTTTGTAGCAATAAGCATAGAAAGTTCCGATGAATCTGACACAGGCGTGGATGAAGGTGAAGACTCCCAGTCGACAACTTCCTGGGAAGATATGAGTAAACTGGATCCTAATATGCTACTATACAAGGCAGCTCAAGCTAGGAACCTGACTGTTATGTTGGAGGCACTAGCTAATGGAGCAGACCCTAACTGGGTGAATGAAGAGGAGGAAGGCAGAACTCCATTAATGAAAGCTGTTGAAACTGTACGTAATCATTACATATCTATTGCTTGTTTTTTATTACACTATATATGTTTTTGGATATTATCTATTGTACGTTTTTACGATTCTCCAAATTCATTACACCTCAAAAAATTATCTGTGTTATTTGTATTGGCAAAAGTTTATTGTAATATTAATCAAAACGATGTATACAGCACTTGTTTAAAAAGTCAGATATTGAAAGTAGATTTTAGAGATACAATTTCATTGGATCAACTGTTTTAAAATAATTTTGAATGATGAGATATTTGATTTTTTGAAATAATTAGATTTATTTACCACATGTATTGGTTGGTCTGTTATACAAATACCTTAACTTTTCACACTTGCTACTGATAAACACTTATTAATGGTGTGTTCAACATAGCTCTGTATTTCATTAGAATTATTAACCTCAGTTATACTACATAAGATGTACTGTTTATAGGGGTTCCATATTAACACATATTTAGCCATACTAACTGCACGAGTACATTGCAGGGTTAATGGTAACATTGGGGTTGTGCATTCGGAAGAGTATGAAGTTAAAAATGATTAATTCATGATACAAATAACAAAATAATTAAAAAATGTTTTATTTTGTCAGTTTGCATGAACAAAGTGATTCAAAATGGACATGTGTAAAGTTTATATTGGCAAAAATTTTATAAAGTGACCTTGCCGTTCGCATGTTACATATAGGTGGCATTACATATATAATAAACTATATATAAATGTATTATTTCTATATTGTATGTAACAGGGAAGTGATAAGGCAAGTAACATTCTCAGCTGACTCAGCATTAAAACCATTGCTTATTTTCTGTTGTTATAAACTGTCTGTTAACCTTGCTTCATTTAAACAAATTATAGACTTAGATCTGCTTCATTTGCTTATACAGGGGAGATAATCCAATGATACATAGGAGATAATCAAATGGTCAAAGTTGGAAATGATGAACTAGGCATTGACTTAATAAAATAACACTTGTCACTGGACATCAAGCAAGCAACAATTTATCAATCAATAAAGTACACTTTCCTTTTTTCAAGGATTTTTATACGACCGCAAAAACTTTTGCGGTCGTATATTGGTATGACGTCGGCATCGTCATCCGGCATCGTCGTCCGAAGACACATTGGTTTTCGCACTCTTACTTTAGTTTAAGTGAATGGATCTCTTTGAAATTTTACCAAAAGGTTCAATACCACAAAAGGAAGGTGGGGATTGATTTTGGGGGTTATGGTACCAATAGTTAAGGAATTAGGGGCCAAAAAGGGGCCAAAAATAAGCATTTTCTAGTTTCCAGACAATAACTGTGGAACGGTGTATGGATCTCTCTGAAATTATACTACAAGTTTCCATACCACAAAGGGATGGTTAGGATCTGCTATGGGGGGTTATGACTCAAACGGTTTAGGAATTAGGGGCAAAAAAGGGGGAAAAACAAGGTTGTCCTGGTTAATGGACAAATACTTAAGTACAAAACATAATTTAAAGCAGTGTAAGGGAGATAAACCAAATACATCATTGAAATTATCTCTCTTACACTGCTTTTAAATTATGTATAAAGTAATGGTTAATGAACAATTAAGATAATTTAAAACAGTGTAAGGGAGGTAATCCAAATACAACGTTTTGGTTACTTCCCTTACACTGCTTTTAAATTATGTTTAAAGAAATGCATATTTATAAAGGAAGACCAGTAAAAATATCTGCAAATGTTGCATCTTTTTTTTTTTACAAAAAAATCCATATGAAAAATTTGACACTATATTTTAAATTCTATTATAAAATTGATTAAGTTAGCACTATGGTAAATTTAAATGGGTAATTATGGTTGCAAACTCCATTGGAAATTTGAATTGAGATTATGACCATATCTTGAGGGAAAGAATTTTTTGGGGGAAAAAGGGGGGGGGGGGGGTTAAAAGAAATTGTGGGGGGTCAATTTTTTCTCATTTCAGATTTCAGAAATTAAAAAGAATTATTCTTCAAATATTTTTTTTTTTTCAAATTTCAAATATTGAAAAATTTCAAGAAGTAATCTTTAATTGCACAGTATGGCACATTAGATTTGTAAAATCTTTGACCACATTTATTTATTTGTTATGCCGAATCTAACCGTGTATTTAGATTTTTAATTTTGGGTCCAGTTTTCAAATTGGTCTACATTAAGGTCCAAAGGGTCCAAAATTAAACTTTGTTTGATTTTAACAAAAATTGAATATATGGGGTTCTTTGATATGCTTAATCTAACCATGTATTTAGATTTTTTATTTGTGGACCCCGCTATCAAATTGGTTCATATTGAGGTCAAAAGGGTCCAAAATTAAACTTCGTTTGATTTCATCAAAAATTGAATTATTGGGGTTCTTTGAAAAGCCAAATCTAACCGTGTATTTAAATTTTTAATTTTGGGTCCTGTTTTTTAAATTGGTCTACATTAAGGTCCAAAGGGTCCAAAATTAAACTTAGTTTGATTTTAACAAAAATTGAATTCTTGGGGTTCTTTGATATGCTGAATCTAAACATGTATTTAGATTTTTGATTATGGGCCCAGTTTTCAAGTTGGTCCAAATTGGGGTCCAAAATTAAACTTTGTTTGATTTCAACAAAAATTGAATATATGGGGTTCTTTGATATGCTGAATCTAACCATGTATTTAGATTTTTTATTTGTGGGCCCACTATCAAATTGGTTCATATTGAGGTCAAAAGGGTCCAAAATTAAACTTTGTTTGATTTCATCAAAAATTGAATTATTGGGGTTCTTTGATATGCCAAATCTAACCGTGTTTTTAGATTTTTAATTTTGGTTCCTGTTTTTTAAATTGGTCTACATTAAGGTCCAAAGGGTCCAAAATTAAACTTAGTTTGATTTTAACAAAAATTGAATTCTTGGGGTTCTTTGATATGCTGAATCTAAACATGTTTTTAGATTTTTGATTATGGGCCCAGTTTTCAAGTTGGTCCAAGTTGGGGTCCAAAATTAAACTTTTTTTTTATTTCAACAAAAATTGAATATATGGGGTTCTTTGATATGCTGAATCTAACTATGTATTTAGATTTTTTATTTGTGGGCCCCGCTATCAAATTGGTTCATATTGAGGTCAAAAGGGTCCAAAATTAAACTTTGTTTGATTTCATCAAAAATTGAATTATTGGGGTTCTTTGATATGCCAAATCTAACCGTGTATTTAGATTTTTAATTTTGGTTCCTGTTTTTTAAATTGGTCTACATTAAGGTCCAAAGGGTCCAAAATTAAACTTAGTTTGATTTTAACAAAAATTGAATTCTTGGGGTTCTTTGATATGCTGAATCTAAACATGTGTTTAGATTTTTGATTATGGGCCCAGTTTTCAAGTTGGTCCAAGTTGGGGTCCAAAATTAAACTTTTTTTTATTTCAACAAAAATTGAATATATGGGGTTCTTTGATATGCTGAATCTAACTATGTATTTAGATTTTTTATTTGTGGGCCCCGCTATCAAATTGGTTCATATTGAGGTCAAAAGGGTCCAAAATTAAACTTTGTTTGATTTCATCAAAAATTGAATTATTGGGGTTCTTTGATATTCCAAATCTAACCGTGTATTTAGATTTTTAATTTTGGGTCCCGTTTTTTTAAATTGGTCTACATAAAGGTCCAAAGGGTCCAAAATTAAACTTAGTTTGATTTTAACAAAAATTGAATTCTTGTGGTTCTTTGATATGCTGAATCTAAACGTGTTTAGATTTTTGATTATGGGCCCAGTTTTCAAGTTGGTCCAAGTTGGGGTCCAAAATTAAACTTTGTTTGATTTCAACAAAAATTGAATATAAGGGGTTCTTTGATATGCTGAATCTAACTATGTATTTAGATTTTTTATTTGTGGGCCCCGCTATCAAATTGGTTCATATTGAGGTCAAAAGGGTCCAAAATTAAACTTTGTTTGATTTCATCAAAAATTGAATTATTGGGGTTCTTTGATATTCCAAATCTAACCGTGTATTTAGATTTTTAATTTTGGGTCCCGTTTTTTAGCTCACCTGACCTGAAAGGTCAAGTGAGCTTTTCTCATCACTTTGCGTCCGTCGTCCTGCGTCCGTCGTCCATCGTCCGTCGTCCGTAAACTTTTACAAAAATCTTCTCCTCTGAAACTACTGGGCCAAATTTGACCAAACTTGGCCACAATCATCATTGGGGTATCTAGTTTAAAAAATGTGTCCGGTGACCCGGCCAACCAACCAAGATGGCCTCCATGGCTAAAAATAGAACATAGGGGTAAAATGTAGATTTTGGCATATATCTCTGAAACCAAAGCATTTAGAGCAAATCTGACATGGGGTAAAATTGTTTATCAGGTCAAGATCTATCTGCCCTGAAATTTTCAGATGAATCAGACAACCCGTTGTTGGGTTGCTGCCCCTGAATTGGTAATTTTAAGGAAATTTTGCCGTTTTTGGTTATTATCTTGAATATTATTATAGATAGAGATAAACTGAAAACAGCAATAATGTTCAGCAAAGTAAGATCTACAAATAAGTCAACATGACCAAAATGGTCAGTTGACCCCTTAAGGAGTAATTGCCCTTTATAGTCAATTTTTAACCATTTTTTGTAAATTTTTGTAATCTTTTACAAAAATCTTCTCCTCTGAAACTACTAAGACAAATTTAACCAAACTTGTCCACAATCATCATTAGAGTATCTAGTTTAAAAAATGTGTCCGATGACCCCGCCCGCAAACCAAGATGGCCGACATGGCTAAAAAATAGTACATAGGGTAAAATGCAGTTTTTGGCTCATATCTCTGAAACCAAAACATTAAGGGCAAATCTGATGAGGATAAAATTGTTCATTAGGTCAAGATCTATCTGCCCTGAAATTTTCAGACCAATCAGGCAACCCATTGTTGGGTTGCTGCCCCTGAATTGGTAATTTTAAGGAAATTTTGCCGTTTTTGGTTATTATCTTGAATATTATTATAGATAGAGATAAACTGTAAACAGCAATAATG